CTTCTGGATCCTGACTCTGAAAGGCTCCACCCACTTCCAATAGGGTTCAACACATAGGCCTTTCAGAAATGTTATTCAAACTGGTGCATCTTTTTTTCATCCAGTTCATATGCTCTCTACTTAGAAAAGAGTCTACCAGGATTCTTTCAGTGTTTCCTCGCAGAGACACCATTCTCTTTTTTTTTTTGAAAGTAATTTTATTAAATTATAAAAGTTTCCATTTCCGCCCCTCCTCCCACCACCCTCCCACTCCCCCCACTTCCTCTCTTCCACCCTCTCCATCCCTAAGAGCAGTCAGGGTTTCCTGCCCTGTGGAAAGTTCAAGTTCCTCCCACCTCCCTCCAGGTCCAGGAAGGTGAGTGTCCAGACAGACTGGATCCGCAAAATCCAGTATATGCAGAGGAAACAAGTCCCAGTGTCATTGTCAATGGCTTTTCAGAAAGACTCCGGGCCAGCCACATTCAGAGAATCCGGCCACATTCAGAGAATCTGGTTGGATCACGTGCTCGTTCAGTCCCAGTCCAACTGGCCTTGGTGAAATCTCATTAGATCAGTCCCCTTGTATCAGTGGGTGATCGCACCTCTCGTGGTCCTGATTTACTTTTTCATGTTCTTCCTCCTTCTACTCCTCATTTGGACCTTGGGAGGCTCAGTCCGGTGCTCCAATGTGGGTCTCCGTCTGTATCGCCATCCATCGTCGGATGAAAGTTCCCTCTGGTCTTGCCTTCTTTGCTCACGTTCTCTTTCCTTCTGCTCAGAGACACCATTCTTTTATTGTCTTTTGCCTACCTAAATAGTAGCAAATCAAGACATTCCTAACAAGACCCCACTAAACATCAAAGGGGTATGCCTTTCAGGGCTGGGTGCACTTCTTATGTTACAAACTCTATTAAGTCATAGTTTACATGTTGAGATTCCCCCAGTTAATTATACGAATCAGTGACTTAGGAAACTGACCCAGTGCAGCCATCACCACAACCCGGCTGTGGCCTGCTTTATCACCACTGCAAGATCCTTCATGAACGTTTTCAGTTCATCTCTCTTCTCCTCACTCATGGGCAGCTAAGGATTTAGTAGTTCATGTGCATGCAGTTATGTAACATATAGCCTCTGGATTTGGTCTCGCTTTCTTATTATCCCCCGAAGACCCTTCAAGTCCTTTGTAGCCTTTTCACAAGCATGGGGGCTAAATTTCTATGTGCAAACTCTGACGTCATGGGATGCTGTTTTCTTGGATTTTCATGATCTAGTGTTGACAGAGGTTCCTTGTTCATTTCCCAGTCACCCAGACCAGAAATAATCACATATAGAAACTATATTAATTGCCATACTGTTTGGTCAATAGCTTAAGCTTATTGCTAGCTAGCTCTTATATCCTAAACTAACCCATCTTCGTTAATCTGTGTATCATCACGAGGTCATAGCCTACTGGCAAAGTTTCAGCAGGCTCCAGCAGAGGCATCTGTCTCCTGTGGTGGCTACATGGCTTCTCCCTTGACTCTGCCTACTCTCTCTATATATCTCTCTTCCAGCCTGACTATATTCTGTTAAGCCATTGGCCGAAGCAGCTTCTTTATTAACCAATGGCAATAAAACATTCATTGCATACAGAGGGATATTCCATATCAGTCTAGGAATCATGAAGCTGAATGGATATTGCCAATAAGAGCAAAGGCAACTACATTTAGGAGTATTCTTTAAGGAAAGCAAGCAGACTTTTGGAGTGATCTGTCAAGGTTGGGTTGGCATCATTGAGAGATCCTTGTTTATCAGCCAGGGATGTTTCTATCCAGATAATGTCGCATTCCTTCTGTCTGCTATCATTGTGTGACCTTTGAAAGGTCACTTATCAGTCGAAAAGTTTGCTTCATTCTTCAGGTGGGTAAGGAAGCAGAGGTGCTGGGCCTTTATTGGCATTTATTCTCTTCAATCTCTGCTCGGTTCTCCTTCCTCCTCTCACGCCTGGACCAGAGTTTGAATGACAGTCATAAGGCAAAGGAAACAAAAGCGATTCTAATGAAAAGCAGAGGCTTGGAACAGCATCGGCAGATGCCTTCCTGTGTGCCCAGGGTTCCTTCAGATGCTTGACAGATGCGATGACTCCCTCCATCTCCACAGTGATTTTCTAGACCTGGCTTAGACTCAGATCTGCTTCACAGATGTTCAAAATGGTAGTGCTGGTCAAATTACATAGCTGGTAGCCCATTGTTTGTTAAATCTCTGCTCTTTGGCCTAAATGTTCCTGAATCAAGCCACAGACTAGCCCAACATCACAAGAGAAGAAGAAATATATATTGCTGACACATGTTTTTAATGTCTCTTCTTACTTTTTTATAAAAGTAAATCTCTCAAAGAAGACTGATGAGAAAATGCCCTTAGTTCACACCACCCCGTAACAGGTATTTTAGCTCTCAAAATACACTTTTTTCCTATGGATCTGTCTGCTGTTACATCCTTTTACATAGTGTCCATAATGCTATATGTCAATTTTTAAACTCTACTTTTATTTTTTTGGCAGTGAGGAGGATCAAACTCAGGGTTTGGGGGATGTTAGACCAGTGCTCTATCCCTGAGCTAAAACCTCAACCCTTGCTTTTGTTTTTGTTTATTCTGCCTTGTGTTTGAGATAAACTCTTACTATGTAGTCCGGGTTACACAGAGAAACTCTGTCTCAAAAAATACCCAAAAATATAAAAATAAAAATGTCATAATACCAGAGTGACTTCTGAGTAAAGCTGGAGGTGACGTGGAATGAGAAGTCGCACTCCTTAATATGTGATGAAATCAATAACAAAAGCATTCTTTAAAAATACTGAAGCAATGCCTTAAGAAAGAGCTGTGATTTAATTCTGTAGACACTGCAGAGCAGTGGACAAGTGGGGGAGGGAGGGGGAGAGAAGGAAAGAGGAGAGGAGAGGAGAGGGGAGGGGAGGGGAGGGGAGAAGAAGCCTGGTCAGAGCTGGGGAGTATGGGGGAATTCAGACTCAGGTTTGAAGTGAGTGTGCACTGGACATTGGAAAGGGCTGTCCAGGCATGGGGCTGCATTCTCAGCTGGACCCCTGAAGGACCAGTCACACACACACACACACACACACACACACACACACACACACACACACGCACCTTTGTGGGAACAGTATCCTTACAGTGAATAATCAATCTCTGAAGTTCAAGAGCCTCCTCTGCTTCACAGTCTTCTGCTACAGTGAAGAGAAGTTAAATTAAATATCTTTTGTGAGAGACATGATCTTACCATGTACCGCCAACTGGCCTCAAAATGGTACCTCTCCTGCCTTAGCTTTCTGAACATTGGGATTACAGGCTTTTCCAATATTCATAGCTAAATTTAATATCATTCTTTAACAATTGCACGTGTCATGTGATCCCATTCTTGTAAAATAATTTCTCAGCAGTGTGTCGTTGCATCTCTAATACATTAGTGCCCCTGGAGAATGGGCTGCAGGAACTATCATCAAAAGGTTATTTCTCCGTGTGAGATTATTGTGTGGCGCTACTCCTGGTGAGACAGGAACAGACACTGAGTTGTTCCTATGGGCGGCCAATGATGGACCACAGTAAGGGTAGCACCAAAGTCCAAACTGGTGAAGCAATGCATTTTATTGAGTTAACTGAGAGGAACAGGGGTGAGGGGCTACTTGTGGGAGCAGAACTGTGTCAGAGACAGCTGCATCACTAAAGGCCACCCCAACCTGAGCGCGAGGAGACCTGGAGCGCACTGCACGGTGTGCAGCAGTGAACAGACTGGAGAGTGTCCTTTCCAGGAAGCTGTTGGTCTGAGTCTCTCTCCGCAGTCCTCACCGCTCATATATGCTTGGGAAGGGGAGAACTAAAGTGTCTGGCTGGTTTCAGGGCCTTTGAGTTGTTTATTTACCCAGCTGAAGGAGCTTTCCTGCAGGATGGACTGTTTCACCTCCCTTTAGAACATCCTGTCTCTTAACCTTCCCTCCAAGATGGAGGTTTTGCCTGGGAGGAAATTGCTATACAAGTAGAGATTTAGAGTGATTTATTACTTTTGTTATTTAAAAGGTGTTGTTTTTATTATTAAGAATAATTTGGCTTGAGGGACTGTGGAGATGGCTCAGTCAATCAGGTGCCTGCCACCCAAGCATGAGGACCGAGTTCAAATCCCCAAAATCTACATAAAATGCCAGCACAATGGTGCGTGCCTATAACCCCAGTGCTGAGGGCCACAAAGACAGGCAGAGCCCTGAAATTCATTGGGCCACCAGTCTATCAGAGTCAACAAGCTTCAGGTTCAGTGAGCGACTGTGTCTCAAATAATAAAGGCAGAGAGCTATTGTGACATCAGTTCTGACTCCCACAGTCATGAGTACATATGTGCGTACACACCTGCTTACACACATGCACGTGTTCATACTAACAAGTACATCCACTACACACACAGGGAGGTGGGGGTAGAGAGGAATAATTTAATTGAGTGTGTAAGGCCAGCACTAGGGAGGCTGAGGTAAGAGTGTCACAGCTAGGGAGCTGCCAGACGGCTGCCAAGGGTGACGACCTGAGTTTGACCCCCTGGGACCTACATGGTAGAAAGAGAAAACTGATTTCCATAAATTGTTCTCCAACCTCCACACACATGCTATGACCTGCCTCTCTCCAGAGGTAATTAAACAAATGCATGTACTTTTAAAAATAAGTTGTAAGCTAGGTTTGGCTACATAGTGAGTCCAAGCCCAGTGCAACTGAACATGACTACAGAGCAGATCCCTGTCTCAAAGAATAAAAATAAGAAAATTTTACATAATCTTCACTTATCATTTTATATGGATAATAAAGGCACTGGTCTTTTAAACTTTTTGCTCCAGTTTGTAGTTACCAGTGACAGGTAAGCATCACGGCGATTGTTCCGGGCCTGATCGGTATGTGTTTTAGATGCCTACAGCTAGAGCAGTCAAACTCTTCAAATACGAACGTTAACCTTGGTCTGCTAATGACATGTTCTGTTTCCTTGGGTGCAGGAAGCATCTATGATTTTTACTTCCTCAAACAAGGTGGTGGACACTGGAATGCATGGACAGAATATATCACCAAAGAAGAGGAGACTATCCCTGCAAACGCAAAGGTAAAAGAAATGCCATGGCTTCCGGAATTTCCCAAGTACCCTTCCGAGAGGAAGAACTGTTGGTGGGAGGCCGCTTGTTTGTTTCCCGGTTGCCCAGCCCCGAAATAATATTATTTGCAATGCTGTTTGGCCAATAGCTTAAGCTTATTTCTGGCTAACTCATATCTTAAATTAACTCATTTCTATTCATCTGTGTATCGCCACGTGCCTGTGGCTTACCAAGCAAAGTTCTGGCATCTGTCTGCTCTGGCAGTTACATGGCTTCTTACTGACTCTGCCTACTCTCTCCCTATATATCTCGGCTAGCCTGGCTAAATTCTGTTAAGCCATTGGCCGAAAGCAGCTTCTTTATTAACCAATAAAAGCAACACATATACAGAAGGACCTCCCACATCAAGAACTACCAGCTCCCTGTGAGCATTTCCAGGAAGAGCTTTGCAAAGATCAAATCCTCAAAAGCATAGAGTTTAAAAGCAGAGAGACCTAAATTCCTTACGTAGGCTTCAAGCTCCTTGCCTCAGTTTACCCAACCATATAATGGAAGAAAAAACACTAAAAGATGATAACCAAGATTGAAGATAGTATGTATACACAGCCATGTGGCACATAGTAGGAGTTAGAAAGGTGTTTGTTACTATTCTGATTATTGTCATTATCCATAACATCACCATTACCTCTTGGTCATCTAAGCCTTAAAAGTCTGCTTTATATCTCCAGAGAAAGATTTCCTCCAGCAGAACTCAGAAAAAAACAGGTTCTAATCAATGAATTTTCTGAGTAGTGGCTAATTCACATATATTCAGTCCCACAGAGAGTACACAAAATGAGCACTCTTGTGCCTCTATTAGTACAACCTAGTAGATGTTATTGATCTTTCTGAGGTGACTGTGCAGCGCTTTTGAGTGGGGTCACAGACGGCAACAGATGGAAATGTGAGACTATTGATAAACCAGGCGGGACCACAGATGCTCTTAGAGATGCCTTTGGCAGGGAGACTCTGCTGCGCTCAGGGCCCACACTCTAGGGACTAGTGCTGAAAGAAACCCCAGCACTGAGATCCTCAGCTCGAATTGTCCTTATACAGCTCTGTTGTCTGAATTTCGTGGATTTGAAATTGTACTAAGTTCATATGGACAGGAGCCCAGGGTAGAAAGTGTTTTCAGCTCCAGTGGGTATTTTCCCCTTGTCAAACATTCAAGTAGCTGAAAATAACACTGGGCGAAAGCTAGCTGGCTTCCAGTTCCTGGTCTCAACTATAAAATGGGCATTTTGGACCTGGTTCTGCATTCAGCATTGCTAAAGGGGACGAGTGACTTCATGGAGAATCCTGGCCTACTTGCAGCCTGTTTTTACCATGTCTTAAAGGGTCCCAGGGAGGACTTCAGGATGCTACAAGCATGACATCCTTGAATGCATCCTCTTACTAGACTTGATCCTTCTCTTCTCTGCTCTGTGAATACATCCATCTATTTCTTTTCACCTAGCTAAATTGTTTCTCAAAAGAAGCCAAACTTTTGTTTGCAAAGGCTTCCAAGTTGCATAGATTTGGTGACACCCAAGTCAAGGTCAAGTTTGGTTTTGGGAAGCAACATTTACAAACCACAGTGTGAATGGTACTTCCCAGAGCCACACCACACAGCAGATCAAGTTCATGACTCCTTTTCAAACTACACATATGAGACCGCTATCTGCCCATCCTTTGCCCTGCCCCACCAAGGAATTAGCTGTGACAAAATGATTGATAACAGGTTTTGGGCTCAGAGAATTCAAATTTAGGTAAGATATTCTACCCAAAGTGATAAAGATTCCAGAAGCTTTACTGAGGTCTCCAAGCCCGTTTAGGATCCTCAGAGCCAAGAAGAATATGTTCAACTTGAGGGATTCATTGAGAACAGGTTTCGAGACACAGACCTCAAGGTTGGGGAAAGTGGGTCAGGAATAAGAAAAGTCCAGGGCTCATATTGCATTTGCTTTGTGTCACTGTGGTAGAATGTCTGGGAGAGTCAACTTAGAGAGGAAATTCCAACTGTGGCTATTGGGTTTATATTGTACTCTCTGGGCCCCATCATCACCCGGCTGGTGCTAAGGTATACTATTACTGCTGGAGGGCTTGACTGAGAAAACCTACTCACTTCATGATACCTAGGCAGCAGAGAGAGAAAGAGACAGGGACAGGATAAAGTCCTGAAAAATGTGCTCCAAAGACCCCTCTACCCTCTTCAATGGTTCTTATTTCTTAAGTGTTTACCAGCTTCCAATAAAGCAATAAGTCATGAACCCACTGAGAGATTAATCTACTAATGGGGTCGGAGCCTCAGGATCCAATTACTTCACAAGAACCTCACCTCTGAACATTTCTACCTTGGAAATCAGACCTTCAGCACTAGAGGATTTGATGACATTCCAGGCCTAAACCATAACACACCTAAACCTTTGAGTCACGGTGGCACATGGAAGGTGGATCTTGCTGGAGACAGGGGGATCTGGCTTGTTTGAAAGAAGTCTCTGAGATAGAAGCTAGATCCTGATCCTTATGGTTAATGGTTTTTTATGCCAGTTTAGTATTAAGAATGTAGACTTTGGAATCATAGAAGCTGGGATTCAAATCCCTGCCTTTCTACTTAGGTCCTATGTCTCTTGGGCAAACTGAAAACTTCTGTACCTCTGCTTCCTCAGGGACCATAGCTCTCACCTTTATGTGTTTGGTTCCATTCAATATCTGACAACTGTGTATTGAATGTCATTTATCCCCATTTCAAAATTGAAGCTGAGGGCCCTTGGGAGGTTAAATGGTTGTTCAAGGTCATAAAGATAATTTAAAAAATGGAGCTACAGTCCAAACCCAGATCCCCTAAATCCCAAGACCCAGTCTTCCTGGTCCAGGACCAAGATTTTCTTGTATCTTTGTAAAAACAGGTATCAGACCTCATCATCCCCACAATGGAGACTGCCCGGCAATCCTTCTTCCTAAAAACCTACCTGGACCATGAGATCCCGATACTGTTCGTGGGTCCTACAGGCACTGGCAAATCAGCCATCACCAACAACTTCCTTCTCCACCTTCCCAAAAATATCTACTTGCCCAACTTCATCAATTTCTCTGCCAGAACTTCAGCCAACCAGACCCAAGATATCATCATGGCTAAGCTGGATCGCCGGCGGAAAGGCCTTTTCGGGCCTCCCATAGGGAAGAAGGCGGTGGTGTTTGTAGGTAAGGCATTGACTTGGGTCTAGGTAGACCAAGTCCTTGTACCCAAGCTGCAGCAGCTCAGAGCTTCCTTACTCTCTCCAGCAAATGTTTATCTTTTCTTCCAACATCACTCCTCCATCTCACCTCCTTCTGCCTTCCCTCCCTCCTTTATTCCTTCCTTCTGTTCCTCCCTTCCTCCCTCCTTCCCTCCCTCCCTCCCTCCCTTCATTCCCTCCCTCCCTCCCTCCCTTCATTCCTTCCTGTCTCTCCTAGCCTCTCTGCTTCTCCTTTCCCTTCTTCGTAGTGAACAGCATCTCTAGGAGACTGTGGTGGTGGCCGCTAAACTCTGACACCTCTAGAAGTAACATTTGTGTTCACTTGCTTCAGATACATGAGTTATCACTAAGTGACGGCAGATAAGTGGGCGCTGACAGCCACTAAGTAAAGGAACCCAACAGTTGCTGAGAAAATGTGAAGTAAGAACAGAGACGTTTTCTCAACGTTCACCTTTGTACAAAGCACTTCCTCTTTTTTTTTTTCTTTTTCCATTTGGGCCTCAGGCCTCGATGAGATTAATCATCATCATGATTGTACTAGCCTGGCTGCTGACTCAGGAGGTACTCATAATGCCCCTGCCGTCTTGGGTCATCTTGAGTCCTGTACTTTTAACTCGTGTATTAATAACACATGTTTCATAGTTATATTTATATCCCTATGGACGCACATCATCTCCTGAAAGGCAAGAATCTTGTCTGTTTTAGTTTTCCTTTCTCTTCTGTCCTTCCTTTCTTCCCCTCCATCCAGGTCTCTCACCCTTTTTTTTTTAATGATATATCCAAAACCAGCTTAAGCCTTGCTGCTAAGCGAAGCTGGGTTCCTATATCATTTCCAAACCTAGGTATAGTTTGACTTAATTATTTACCTCGAACACACAGGTAATGCTATGTCCTTTAATGTCATGTTTGCATGAGTTTATTTTTCTGAAGTTCCTAAAATGTTGACTCACACAAACTGATCATTCTATCAGTAACTGATGAAGAGAAATGAAGAGAGCCTTTGCTGGGTTTGGTCTCCCATGTACCAAGGCTGAGCCATGTGTTCCAGGAGGAAAATGTCCTTGTGTTTAAGAGACCCTGTATTCCATTCAAAATGTATACCATTTTGAGCCTCATCAAAAGCCCTAGTCAAGGCCTTGCTCCCAACAGAGTTCAGCTATTACAATGCCCAATCAGGAGAAAGGGTTCTTACTCAGTAGTCCAGGACTTGCTTAGCACATAGAGGTTCTGGGTTCAATGCCCATCACACTAAAATGTCTATGTTAGCTGGCAGGCAGCATGTCTATAGTATAAGATGTAATGGTATATTATTTGTATTTTCATAAATAAATTTTGCCTGAAAACCAGAGACAAAACTAAAGCCACTAAAGGTCAGATAATGGTGACACACATCTTTAATCCCAGCATTTGGGAGACAGATGAGTTGGATCTTTGTGAGTTCAAGGCCACCCCAGGCTACACAAAATCAGTGTAGAATCAAATCCAGGTGGTGGTGGCTCACACCTTTAATCCCAGTACTACGGAGTAAAACGCCTTTAATCCCAGCACTAGAGGGAATATAAAATGGTAGGAAAGAGAGACAATTGGCTTAGTTTATGGTTTCCCAGCCTTGGTAGAAATACAATTTCTCTAGTGACTTGACTACTTTGCTTTTCTGGTTTTTGGATCAAACCCCACCATCTGTCTCTGGGTTTTTATTATTTGTGTTACAATTTGAGATAAGCCTGGGTGTCTCAAGACAGAAAATACAACAAAAGGGAACTTTTGGCGGGTCCTTCACTGTCATATGCTTAGCAATTAACAAAATGTCTATGGCACAGTAGCAGTGTATTTTGGCTAAGAAAAATGGCAGAAAGAAAACCCTTTTGTATCTGGTCAAGATGTCTACTGGCTAGGTCTAGAATGGGGGTGGGATCACTGGAAACAGACTTTTTCATGAAGGGAGCAGTCATTGGTTAACCCTGTAAGACCAGAGGATCCCATGGATTCACAGTATGTGTGGCTATGATTTCCTTCTACAGATGACCTCAACATGCCAGCCAAAGAGGTGTATGGAGCCCAGCCCCCCATCGAACTGCTGAGACAATGGATTGACCATGGTTACTGGTTTGACAAAAAAGACACAAACAGGCTGGACATTGTAGATGTTCTGCTTGTGACTGCCATGGGCCCCCCTGGTGGAGGAAGGAATGATATCACTGGTATGTCTAGGAAGAGGATTTATTCCTCTCTCCAGTTCCCTGCAGAGTGGGCTATCATGGATGAATTGGTTCAGGGCCTTCTGACAGGAGAAAATGTGGAGTATGCCTTTGCACACAGCTGGGAAAGTTTGGTTTAGCACCAGACTTCAAGTTGGAAGCTGCCTGTGGTGGGATGGGAGGATGACCAGAGTCTGTGAGGAAGTCTTTGTGTATTCACCAAAAAGGGGGTTCCATAGGAAGAGGAGAGCAACATGGCTGTGTTTGCCTTGGATCTGAGCATGGCAAAGTCTAGGGAACCTTGAAGCCATAGGGAGTTTTTTATACTGCTGTTTTCTTTAGCTTGTTCAAGCAGGAATGCACTTCCAGAACACATAGCAGTGGGTAGTTTTCAAGTTCAGCCATAGACAGGATCTCTGAAAAGTGCCTGTCATGGAAGCTAGTCTTCAACAACTGCCAGGAGCATGTCTGTAGTCACATGATATCAAGCACAGCACTGGACCCAGTGGCAGCACCCATGTTCCATGGGGGCTCAGAGAGAGCCAGGTGGAGGGAGCTAAGTGGGTTTGTGGGGTGACCTAAGCGGAGTAAGGAAACAGTGTTCCGCTCTGGACTGGGTCCTCTCAGGAAGTCAGGATGATCTGATGAGTCAGTGTCTTAATTTTTATCCTGAAGTCTGTAAAAATGAAGAGAGCCCAGTGCTGTCACTTGGTAAAGAAGCTGAGTCACTCGTATTAGCTGTGGGGGAGGAAACTGGGTCGTTTTCATGGCTGACAAAGCAATCTTATTTCCATTGTAATCTGTCACTGTCAGGGAATGATTACATTTGATGTTGATGCCTTTAGAAAGATTTATTCTTATTGTATGCGTATGAGTATTTTGCTTATATGTATATATGCAGCGCATTATATATGTTGGTATGCATGTGTTCATGTATGTATGTATACCAACATATATATTATATATGATGTGTGTGTATGTATAATGTACTGTATGTATGTCTGGTGCCTGTGGAGGCTAGAAAAGAGCACCAGATCCCCTGGAACTGAGGTTATAGAGAGTTATAAGCCTCCATCTGGTGCTGAGTCCTCCCCAAAAGCAACAAGCACTCTTAACCACTAAGCCATCTCTCTAGCCCCCAGTGCTGATGTTTAGTGAAATGGTATTCAGTAGGAAACCAACAACCTAGCCTACAATGCCAGTTATTAGTATTCAGATGGAGAAACTGAAGTCCAAGGCAATGCATTATGATTACTGATGGCACAGTGATTGAGAACTTAGCAACAAATAGTCCATGTTTGCCAAGCACAAAGAAAGCATAAATTTACGTTAAGTACTATTTTTTTCATCAAAATACTGAGTGATGCCCTCAAATTCATATACCTACCAATCAACAACATATAAAATATCAGTCAACCTCCACATGTATATATATACACATACACATGTACAAACATTCACATATATATGTGTATATATATATACCTCTGTATACAAGTACATAGATCATGCATACACATACACACACACACAATGGTACAAAGAGATTTAAAAAAAGAAGACCAACATTAACCTATTGTTTACACAGAAATACACACATATACATACCCACATATGAATACATGAATACCAAAGACACACATAAACATACTCATGCAAGAACACATTCATACCAGACACAGACACACACCTATGCAGGAATACATATATACCCAACAAACACACACATGCACACACATATATGAACACATGAATACCAAGCACACACGGACACACAAAAATCAATCTATTGTTACTTTTTAACAAGAAAAATGTACATATGTGTATTTTAAATCTATTTGTTTACTCTTACATGCATGGTGTTTTGCCTGTGTACCACTGTGCATACAGTATCCATAGTGTCCAGAAGAGGGTGTTGGATGCCCTAGGTCTGGAGTTACAGATTGTTGTGAGCCCCATGTGGATTCTGAGAATTAAACCTGGGTCCACTGGAAGAACAGCCAGTGCTCTTAACCACTCAAGCCCCCTATATGTGCATGTTTATATGTATGCCCACATACATAAAATTACAATACATGTGTGTGGGAAAACACAGAAAATACCTATTTACATATATATGTGTTATATGTAAATGAAAAACTGAAGGAGGAATTTTGGAGAAAAGACAGCAGCAATGGAACTCCAATTCTTGGCTCTTCCCAAATCCATATATCAATGCAAACAACTTACAGAGTCCCAATTCCCAAAATGTTAATGACTAGGAACAAAGCCATGCTCTGCACATATGCAAAAGAAAGCAGGAGGAAGCAATGGGGTTCCACAGGCCTGAGAGGGCAGATTAGGAAATGGAGTTAACCTGGGAACAGAGAGGATAGCGAGGGAGACACTAGCTACAAAACACTTTTTTAATTATTTGGCTATTCTACAGGAACAAGACATTTCCTTTAGTTTCTAAAAATAGTGTTGTGAGGCTGACGAGATGGCTCAACAGTGAAAAGCATGTGTTGATCTTGTGGAGGGACCTGGGTTCAATTCCCAAGACCCTTGCTGGGCAGTTCACAACTGCCTGTAACTGCAGCTCCAGGGGACCTCTTCTGGAGTCCTCAGACACCAGCATTCATCCATGCACAGACCCATACACAGACACACATAGAAATACACAATTAAAAACTGAGGGACTGGAGCCATGGAGGGTATCGTCTGCTCTCACAGAGGATCTAGCCTTGATTCCCAGCACCGACATGATTGCTCACAACTCTCTGAGACTCTAATTTCTAGGGATCCTGTGCCCTTGGTCTCCAGGGCATCGGGTAACGCACACGGTGCACAGACTTACACATGAACTAGCTAAACAAATTTTAAAATAAATAAGATGAATAAGAATGAAATATTAAAACTTAAAACAATCTTGTGTGCCAGAGGAGGGAGGCACTGTTGATATGACTTCTGCAAATCATGCTGAGCAAGCAGCGGTGCCCCAGCCACTGATGGCTACGGAGCACATTTCATGCAGCCAGTGGAACCGCGGAAGCCCATTCTCGATGTTATAGTTACTATTGAGTATAAATAACTGCACGTGGCTGGGCTGACACATCGCTGTCAGGGCTATAGAGCACAAGAGCAGGGAGACACTGACTCTTTCCCAGGGTCACCAGGTCTGGGAAGTATGTGTGCAAACTCCAGATCTATGTGTTCCCAGGACGATTCACTCGCCATCTTAACATCATTTCCATCAACGCCTTTGAAGATGACATCTTAACCAAGATTTTCAGTTCTATCTCTGACTGGCACTTTGGGAAAGGGTTTGATGTCCTATTCTTACGGTAAGAAGCTCCTGTGGCTTCCTGGTTATTGACCTGGGGGTGGTCCTCATTTCTGCTTGACTATGTGACTGGTCTGCCTCCCTCTTCCATGCAAGGTATGGGAAGATGCTGGTCCAAGCGACTCAGACGATTTACAGAGCTGCAGTTCAGAACTTCTTGCCAACTCCCTCCAAGTCACACTATGTCTTTAACCTTCGGGATTTTTCACGGGTGATCCAGGGGGTACTGCTGTGCCCGCACACCCACCTGCAGGTCAGCCACTACTGTTCCTGTCTCGCAAATTTCTTGGCAGTATTCCTGGGTGTGTACTGATAGTGTGGCTGATTGGGTGGTCTTCCACTAATCACAAACTATTCTTCAAAGTGTGCATGACACAGTACTTTACATTCCCTTGTCTTATTTATACCTCACACCAACCCCACGATTTAGAGACTTTTTGAGAACCATCTCCACAAGCACCACCTTCAAATGACTGCCTTTGGCCTCTAGGACTTGGAAAAATTTATCCGGCTTTGGATCCATGAGGTTTACCGAGTCTTTTATGACCGTCTGATTGACAATGAGGACAGACAGACTTTCTTCAACCTGGTGAAGGAAACCACCTCCAATTGCTTCAAACAGACCATGGAGAAGGTGGGTCTTTTGTTTGTTTGTTTGTTTTGAGACGGGGTTTCTCTATGTAACTGCCTTGGCTGTCCTGGAAGTCGCTTTGTAGATAAGGCTGGCCTCGGACTCTCATAGATCCATCTGCCTCTGCCTCCTGAGTGCTGGGATAAAAGGCATGCACCACCACTTCCTGGCAGACAAATCTTATTCTAGAATCATCTGGCCTCAGAAACAGGCCCACGTTAGTCTCAGACTCTAGATTTCATTCCCTGTAAAGACCACTCTTCTCCCTGAATCATGGGAAATGGCCCATCCAAAAATTAGTCTTTGATTTGTTGATATTTTACTTGGTCCAACTTTGCTTCACTTCTATGATAATATGTAAGTTTCAGTTCACTCAAAATGGTTAATGTTACTTATTTTAAATTAATTTAAGGGACTAGAGAAATGGCTCATCCATTAAGAGCAGGTATTGCTGTTTCAGAGGACCCAGGTTTGGCTCCTAGCACACACATTGAGCAGCTTACATTTTACCTCTAACAGGGCCTCCAAAGACCCCTACACTCCCATCTCACAAGCACTTGAACACACATGCACATACACACAAACACACAGGAATGCACATAACTAAAAAAAGAAAATCTTTACGATTAAAACTAATTTAACTTAAAATAAATTCTAAGGTCAATTCATTTGGTTCTGGGGAGTAAAACACAAATTTTTATAATATGACCTGGTAAAATTCAAACAAAAGATTCAGTGTCATGTAGTTATGACCATTTTCTTCTTCCTATTTTGAAAGTGATTTTAAACCTATATTTGCCTCTGAATTTCCTTTACCAAGCAGTGATTATATCCTCGAGGGAAACATAGGAGTGTCTTACACTGCATCCTGAGGCTGAGAGCAGAGGGATTGACAGGTCCTTGTATCCCTGTATCAAGAGTGGGAAACATCTTAAGCACCCTACTCTAGGCAGAGCAGAGAGTGGGGCTGTTGCCCACACCTCTGTTTGGTACAGAACCAAACATGGGAAAACAATGCCATCCTTCTCCTGCCTTCTGTGGGATCTTACAAGCCAATCACCATTTAGCAACTCAGGGACTAGTCGAAGTGTGTATGGGGTATAGGTGTGTCTGTGAGGCTGAGCTTGGTGGCATACTCCTTTCATTCTGAGAGAATCTCTGTGAGTCTATGGACAACCTAGTCTACATAACTAGTTCCGGGCCAGCCTAGGCTACCCAGCAGACCCTGCTTAAGAACAAACAAGCGAAAACGGTAGTCAGGGCTAGGGAGCTGGCTTAGTTGTTAAAAGCACTTGCTGCTCTACCAGTTTGGCTCCCAGCACCCACATCAGGCAGTTCCCAACCACCTGTAACTGTAGCTCCAAGGGACCTAGACCTCTGGCGTACTCTGACCTCTGAGCATACCCCCACACACATGTGACATATACACAAAAATAAAAAAATTAAAAATATGTGAATACGTCCCTGTGTGAAGGTATGTACATAGGCATATGGGTACCCTCGGGGTCAGAAGAGGCTCCTCTCCAATGGAAGAAGTTACAGGCAAGTGTGAGCTGTCTGGTGCTGGTGCTGGGACCTGAACTTGGGTCCTCTAGAGGCTGCACCTGCTCTTAGCCACTCGGCCAGCCCCACACAGCTGTACCATTCTTCTATCCAACCATCACATCCACATATGGTTTAAAATGCTTCCGTTCACGGGGGGGGGTCTCCCTTTTCACTCCCTCCCTCCTCCCCATAGCCAGCCTGGACCACAGGCTAAGGGCCCAGCTGACGCTTGCCTTCCCCACAGGTGCTTATCCACTTATCTCCCACCGGGAAGATAGTAGACGATAATATCCGGAGCCTCTTCTTCGGGGATTTTTTGAAGCCGGACCGTGACCAGAAAATCTATGATGAGATCACGGACCTGAAACTCCTCACGGGGGTCATGGAGTACTATCTGGAAGAGTTCAACAGCGTCAGCAAGGCCCCCATGTCTTTGGTCATGTTCAAGTTTGCCATCGAACACATCTCCAGGATCTGTAGAGTCCTGAAGCAGAACAAAGGCCACTTGCTCCTGGTGGGCATTGGGGGCAGTGGGCGGCAGAGTGCCACCAAGCTGTCCACCTTCATGAACTCATACGAGCTCTACCAGATCGAAATCACAAAGAATTACACAGGCAACGACTGGAGGGAGGACTTGAAAAAGATAATGCTGCAGTCCGGAGTGGCCACCAAGAGCACCGTGTTCCTCTTCTCGGATAACCAGATCAAGGATGAGTCATTTGTGGAGGACATCAACATGCTTCTGAACACAGGTGATGTGCCCAATATCTTCCCGGCGGATGAGAAGGCTGAACTTGTGGAAAAGATGCAGACGGCAGCCAGGACGGAGGGAGAGAAGATTGAAGCCACTCCCCTGTCCATGTACAACTTCTTTATTGAGAGAGTGAGGAAGAACCTTCACATTGTCCTTGGTGAGTGAAGTGGGAAAGTCTGCATGCCCTTGGCTCTCTGCCATCTTTAGGGTCTTCCCTAATCCTGTCTCCTTTACTGACCCCAAAACTGATCTAATTCAGGCGCTAATCAGCAACGGTCACAATCTGGGCTTCCTCTGGCAATTTTTTTTTTTCAGTCTTGCCCCAAAGAACTGTGTTAAGCCTGTTCCAGTCTCTTCAGTTCTCTGAAGTCTTCAAGAAAGATGACAACTTAGCACATTGCCTGGTGCAGACCACAAGTGTTCTCCTTGAAGGATCTGGACAAGCTCTCCATAACCCCAGCAGATGTGCTTAACTGTTCTTTCCTGGTCACCTTTCTTGGTCCCTACATCCCTCACGCTAGCCAAGCTACTGTGGCCTCCCTCATGCTAACCAAGCCACTGTGGCCTCTCTCATGCTAACCAAGCCACTGTGGCCTCCCTCATGCTAACCAAGCCACTGTGGCCTCTCAGATCTCACCTCTGCACCATCCCTTCCTGTCTCTGTTCTTGTTCATTCTAGATCTGCCTGATCCTCTGTTTCAGAATGGGATTTTTTTCTGTTTTGCAGATAGGATAAGTGTGTGTGTATGTGTGTGTGTGTGTGTGTGTGTGTGTGTGTGTATGTGTACGCGTGTACACACATACACAAACACACAAATTAAAATAATCACTTTCTGTTAGGATGGGGATCAAAGAACAAAACTTTCTTACCTATGTCTTATAAGGTCATTCACCAGACTGCTCCCCATAATCCTCTACCCTCCTCTCGAGCCAGATTCCTCTCCTGGCCCTTCAGCCACACTGACCTCTCAATACTTCTGCCTATGCATCACGCTTCCTGCGAACACCAAATAAACAGTGAATGGAATATGAATTGCAGAACTAAGAGCCTGTGGCTGGATGGAGATGGGATCAGAACCAATTCATAAACAACTTCTGTTAGTGTCTAAACCTGGGTACCTTACGTGAAAGCACAGAGAAAACAGATGGGACAAAGGGCTGTATCCCCACTAAGGGACCCAAATGTGCGTTCAGGAGATGGCGGGGGGGGGGGGAGACTACTGTAATACATTGAGACACCATCATAAAAATATCCCAGAATTCCTCTGTTCCCCAGGCTCTCATCATGGTTATTTACAACCACATCTCCACAGTGCCATCCAGAGGCATCACTGGCCCCTGGAGAACCTCTCCCTTCCCTTTGTTTCTCCAAGCCTTGGTGGAAGGGAACTAACCAAGCCTATTTGTCGCTAGCCATGAGTCCGATCGGGGATGCCTTCAGAACACGCCTGAGGATGTTCCCTTCCCTGATCAACTGCTGCACAATTGACTGGTTCCAGGCCTGGCCGACCGATGCCCTGGAGCTGGTGGCCAACAAATTTCTTGAGGACGTGGAGCTCGATGACAGCATTCGGACAGAGTAAGCGTCCCTTTCAGTCCAATACCCCAGGTGTTCCAGCTAAAATCCCAGCTGGCTGTTCATGCTCTTTTACAGCTTACGGGTAGAAAACAGCTTACATTTTTAAATCAATTTGTGTTAGCTGTTTAGCTCAGCACCTTCGCTGAGAAAGAAAGGCAGTGAGAGCCAGTGAGATAGCTTGGAAGGTAAAGGCCTCTGACAGCCTGGGTTCGATCCCCAGGACCCACGCGGTGGAAGGAGAGAACTGACCCCCACAAGCTGTCCTCTGACCTCCACGTGTTTGTCATGGTAGGTGCAAGCATGCACATGCATATACCGACACAGAAAAGAAGTAATATGTAATATGTAATTGAAAAGCGCTCTGTGCTCTGGATGCTTCTCCAGATGCCAGAAACTGGAAAGTCCTGCAGAAGTCCTGGTGCTTCATTAAAGGGTCAGAGTCGTCCCCGTAGACTGTCCACCTCTCTCTTTCTCTCTCCCTGGCTCTGTTCGCCTGTTTGGTTCTAACAGTCCAGTCAGGGTACGCACCCTCTGATGCCCTGATGTCCGTGTCTGAGAGTTGCTGGATCTCCTCTGTAGAAAGTCCCAGGTAACTCCTCTGATCTCCTTGGCAGGGTCGTCTCCATGTGCAAATACTTCCAGGAGAGCGTGAAGGCGCTGTCTGTTGATTATTACAACACACTTCTGAGACACAACTATGTGACCCCTACCTCCTACCTGGAACTGATCCTGACCTTCAAAACGCTCCTGAATAGCAAGAGACAAGAGGTGGACACAATGAGGAACCGCTACTTGGCAGGCTTGCAGAAGCTGGAATTTGCATCTTCTCAAGTGAGCACTTTGATAGAACAGGGGGCAGAGGCTGGGTGTGTCGAGACCCAGAATGCCAGAGGGCATCAGATATGGACAATCCGGCTGGCACTTGCCTAGCTCACCTCACTTAATTCATTTGGATCTCAACTTCAGGTCTGTTTGAGTTCACTTGCTTGTTCACTGTGGACTTTTTACTTATGGTATTAATTGAGTCTCTTAAAGTACCACAGTAAGGAGGACATGGTGGTACATACCTTTAATCCTAGCGCTTGGTAAGCAGAGGTGGATCTCTGTGAGTTCAAGGGCAGCGTATTCTAACAAAGTAAGTTCCAGACCAGTCAGAACTACCTTGTCTCAAAAAAAAAAAAAAGTCTGTAATTAGCAGCACTCATCTGAATCCTGGCACTCCCTTAATTAGAACCCTGACTATGGCATCTGTGTGAGCCTTGGGCAGGAGAAGGTGGGGATTCGAAAGGCTAGGCCTGGTCCCAAATTACAGTGGTCTGACCTGCCACTGTGACTCCATGGCATGGGGACAGGTGGGGCCGTCAGACGTGGACCACTCTGCTGCTCTTGTCCTGGGGGCTGCTGGGTCTAATGTTGAAAGCTAAAGTCTCTCTAGACCAGGATGAGAAAACCATGTGGTGCTGGGGAGGCAAAAAGGGACCAAAGATAGCGTAGACCTGAGAAGGTGTGCTTTGAGCCTTGTGGGTCACACGCCTGGTGCTGTGTGCCCGAAAGTTCTGCCATTGTCTCCCGCTACAAAGAAACCACAGCACAGAGAGGCCAGAAGACATGTCTGTGGTCATTCAGCCTGGTGAGTAGTCACACCAGAACTAGGACTCAAACAGTCTCAACCCCGGGCCAATTCCCAATCAGGCCAGCCTGTCGTGCCCTGGTTTCCACACAGGCTCCTAGGGGTGAAAGTGCATGGAGAGAATTATAACTCTTCATTGGGAAAAATCTCACCAATTTTGTTTTCTCGAAAGTTGCAATTCCCAAAGAGTGCTGAGGCCCCATCGCTGAGGTGTTCAAACAGCCCCAAGGGGCACTTGGTAGAAATGTTCTCAGGAGCACTGGCTGGATAAGAAGAAAGCTCTCTAGAGGCCTGGGAACATCAAACTTATGTTTCTTAAGAGTTCTAGGGGCCTGGAAGTCAAGCGCAAGGTGGTGGCAGATCCAGTGTTTGGTGGAGGTTCTCTTCCCAGTAATGATGTGTGTGTGTGCGTGTGTGTTTTTGTGCACGTGCATGCATGTATGCATGTATATATGTGTGTGCGTGTGCGTGCGTGTGTGCATGTGTGTGAGCATGCGTGTGTGTGCGTGTGCATGCGTGCATGTATATACGTGTGTGTGCGTGTGTGTGTGAGCATTCACACACCACAGGATGCTGTGGAGGTCAGATGACAAACTACTGAAATAGGGTTTTCTTCCTAACCCCTCATCCTTTTTCACTGTTCCATTTCTGTGGGAGCAGGGAGAAGGTTACGTGTGCTACGGCATGTGTATAGAGGACAAAGGACGACACGCAGGAGTCACTTTCTTTCCTTGTACCACGTTGATTCCTGGCTTGAACTCAGGTTGTCAGACTTGGTAGCGCAAGATCTCACCTATGCAGCATCTTGCCATCCCTTTCCTTTCACCTCTACGTGGATTCTGGGGCCTCCAACTCAGGCTGTCAATCTGCAGAGCAGGCACCTAGCCCAGAAAGTAATCTTGATGTGTCTTCACATGAGAGAAAGGACAGATCTCTCGTGTCTTCTTACTAAGGACATTTATCCCATCAGGAGGTTCCCACCCTCAGACCTCATCTAACCCTAATGACCTCCAAAGGATCCATTGCCAAATATCATTATCTCTAAATTAAGCTCCAGCATATACATTTGAAGGAGACAAGTATTCAATCCATGGCACTAGAAAAAGTAACCTTGCAAGTTCCTTCTAGCTTGGGCTGCTGGAACACCCCTGTAATCCCAGGACTCTTGGAGACTGGGGCTGGAGAACTGAGAGCTCAAGAATCTGATTATACTAGACATTGAAGGTCAGCCTGGGATGCCGATTATGTGCTTGTATGTATGGGCACGCATGCGTGCAAGTGAGTATACTGGATCAAATTAAAAGTGGCTTTAGGACCCACAGGCTGTGGAAATGGATCTGGAATAAAACATTTGCCATGCAAGTTCAGATTCCCTGAACTCACATAAATGCCACGTGGACATAATGGTCCACCTATAATCCCGGAAGGTAGGAGACAGAGACATCTCTGCAACAAGATGGCTAGCTAGACTAATCAGATAGGCAGTTCCAGGTTTAATTGTCAGGCCTCTCCTCAATACGTCTGTCAAGAAAGACAGCTAACTTCTGGCCTCCACAAGCGCACACATGTGCGGCACACGTGTGCACACATGCAAGCATAGTGGCTTTAAATGGATTTTATGACTTGGTCTCTCTCTTCCTGCACCCAGCAGTAGAATAGAAACTCAAGGGAAGAAACCATATGTTTAACATCACATGCCTGTGCTTTGCACAGCTCTTGATAACTGCAACCTTCAGAATGGACTCAGTAACTAGGTGTTGAAAGCTTAAGAACATAAAACCAGCCAACGAGTATGTGCCCGGGACCACGTCAGAATCAGCCACCCTTTCTTTCTGCACTGGCCCGGTGTTCCAGAACCTTCCATTGTCAGCATTGCCACCACTGACTCTTCGGTCCCTTTCTCCTTGCTAGGTGGCCGTCATGCAAGTGGAGCTCACCGCCCTTCAACCTCAGCTCATTCTCACCTCTGAGGAGACCGCGAAGATGATGGTGAAAATCGAAGCAGAGACCAGAGAAGCAGATGCCAAGAAACTTCTGGTGCAGGCAGATGAAAAGGAAGCTAACGCCGCCGCCGCCGTCTCTCAAGCCATCAAGGTAAGACCAGCAGAGCGTCACGGAGGGAGCCCACCCTGTCGAACGTATGTGGCTGAGCCCACCTTGCAGGGGAGACACAGAAGGCTCAGAAAGGGTGGGTGAGTTTTCTAAATCCCGAGTTAGGAATGAATGAAGGAGCCTTTGGGGCCAAATACGCTCCGTCCCACGCCGAGTCCCAACCAAGGCTCAGCACGATCTGATCTCGCCTGCTAACTTTCCCCTCGTTCACTCCGCCCTGGCTACGATGGCCTTCTGGCTGTCCTCTCCTGAGGGCCATTGCACTCGCTGTTCTCTTTGCCTTTAGCTCTCCCCACGCTGTCTTTGTCACCTCTGTCACAGTTTTGTTTGGTTTTGCCAAATGTGTGTGTAGATACAGAACAAAGACTGCCTTTTAGTTGGCAGAGCATTGAACCTAGAGGGTTCCTTTTGAAGGTGCTTCTGATCCTGGAGAACAAGTCCTGAGAAGGAATCAGCACACATTCAGACAGCAGAAGCTAACCTCCTCCTCATTGTTGGGATGTTACATAGGTCTCAGAACACTCCTAGTATGTGATTCCATCTGGGGATCACAGCCACCTTACAAATGGTTAGTGTCAGGACCTGAGAATTGCTAGCTAGCTTTGGGGTCGGTGGTGAATTAGTCTCTCAAAGCAGTGTAGATCACTAAGAGGATCTATATTAACCCAGGCTCAGGGCACTTAGGCTAAGGCATTTATCCCTGCGCCTTAAGGAATTAGGGAATTCCTTCAGCCACTTTCAAGCACAAGTCTGAGCAAGAGGCGGTCTGTCTGGCATCTGTCCTAGATAGGTCATGGGTCATTTTCCTAAAAAGTACAGGCCTTCCAATTGGCGTTTCTCCAATGAATCCCAAGACCTGACCTCTTCTGGATGTTTTTCAGAGAGTCTGATCCCTCCCCGTTCTCAGAATTCACAATGAACACCAAGTCCTCGGTTGTGAAAGTTGGTTCATTTGCGGTCTTGGTGGCTAAGGCAGAGGACACAATGAAAACCATAAAAGTTAGCCACTCTCAGATGCCAGGATCCAGATTCTAGTGGATGGTTTGCCACTCGGTGGTAAAATGATTATACTGGCCACAAATATTTATTAACTAAGTATTTTAACAAATATTTATTAAACATCTTTTATGCACTGGCACATTTTTAGCTGGGAAAACTAGGAATGAATGGAATAAGTGAACTCCTTTCCTCGTGGAGACTATGTTCATTATCTTGAACGCTTCTAAGCACTCTGCGATACACTACAACACACACAGAATTATTCCCAGTTGGCATAGGAGGCAATCATGACACAAGATTTTTTCAAAATAGCAAGGCCACAAAATGGCATGGTCAGCTTTCAACCCTAAAGTTCCTTGACTGCCCCCCGCCCCCCCCCAGCATTTGACCGTGATTTCAGGGGTTACAGACTGGCAGCTAGAGAGCACATGTATCGTGGGATGCATAGAATATTTGATCAGTTCATTTTTCAGACAGGGTCTTGATATGTTTCCCAGACTGACCTTGAGCTCACAGTCCTCTTGCCTCAGCCTCCTGAGTGCTAGAATTACAAGTACACCATGTCACAGCCACACTTAGTGATGCTTTATTTCAAGTCACAGATAGTACACATTTAAAATGCAGATAATGTCAGTTAAAAATTCTGAAATGTTTGCTTTTCCTTAGAAAATAAATTTGGGACTCTAACAACCTTTGGCTCTGCTCTCTTGGGTTGCACCCATCCACAGGCTTAAGAACATGCTGTCCTTCTGTGTTCTAGCTCACCAAGCCCCATCCAGTTCAGTTCCTACCCTCATCTCCACAGCACGGCCCCTGAATGTGTATGACTTTACAACTCTTTCATGGTTCTGTACTGCAGCCAGGCAACCAGAGCTCAGGGCCAGCTCTTCCCCCTTCCTCAGTCTCTACATCAACAGCTTGAAGGTCCTAAGGACGCAAACAAACAAACGTGGACTGGAGAGATTTCTCAGTGGTTAACAGTGCAAGATGCTCTTGCATAGGACCTGAATTAGGTGCCCAGGATGTACATGGTGGGCACACAACTATTTGTAACTTCAGTTCCAATGGGTCCAACACGCTTTTCTGGCATCTGCAGGCACAAGACATGTGTGCGTTGCACATGCATACATGTAGTCAAAAGAGTCATACAAATTAATAAATAAGTAAATAAATAAGCAAATTAGTAAGTAGTGTGGAAAGTGTGAGCATGTGCCAGAGGGCCACATTAGTTGTCCTCTGAAACAGCTGTTCTTTGCCCTCTGCCCAGTGTGGGAATCTAACTTTTCACCAAGTATCGGAATCATCTGGCAGGGAATGCCCCAGCCAGGATTCTGCTCTGGAATGTCAGGGGAAGCAGCAAACCTGCTAGGTCAGGACAGATGAGCAATGACGTGGGGTTTATGAAGAGCTGAGAGGGACTTCTCACCACGTCCTGGGCAATAGCTGCCTCCTTGGGTTTCAGTGGGAAGGGCGGGGTCTGATGCTGCCCGTCTGAGCTCCAATCCTGAGAGTCCTGGAGGTGAGTCAGGTGGAGGAAGCCACCCAGGGTGGAGAAGAAAGAAACCGCAGCTCGCTCCACAGTTCCCCTGAGGCTTTTCTGTGCACAGACTCTTCCTGAGGTTTCCAGGGCTGTGGTCCTCCTCTGCGAGAAGACTGCTATGATTCCCTACTCTTCTTAACCTCTAAAGATGACAGCGTGGGAGCGTATGGGACACCTGACCTAACGTGCACCAGCGGCCCCACCAAGCAAGAATTCATGCAGAGGAGATTTGGAAACTGAAAGAGGTGGAGCTGGGCTCCCAACACTTAATTCATAAGTGCAGCAGTTTCCTGACCTGGCAGGTTCTTGCTGGTCATGGCACATACCTGTCGTTCCAGCATTTGGGAGGCAGAGGCAGGCTAGCCGGGACTGCCGTAGACACCCATCAAACAAAGAAACAAGGACAGCTGGCCAACTCCTCTCAGACTACTAAGTCACTTCTTCCACCTCAGTGAGGACAATCTTGCATAATTACCGCAGCACGGATTTCAGTTCATCAAAACACATGGGCTCCGTATCTGACAGCCTTGATGATCTCTGCATTGCTGACACCCGAGGGCCGTTTTTAATTATAAGATTTTAATCATACAAACATGTGTCATAACACATATAAAATTTTTTAAAGAGTTTAATTTAGAAACCTTTTCAAGTCTCAGCTCTAATTTGAAATTTCCTCCTTGTCGCTCTCCATACAGCATGGTTGTGATTTTCACAGTACTTTGTATTGTGGGTATGTGTATATTTGTGTGTATGTGTGGTGGATGTGCTTGTTCTGTGTGTGTGCACATTTGTGTATGTGTGCTTGGTATTTGTGTTTGTGGTGTGTATGTGCAGTGTGTATACTTGTTATTGTGGGCGTATACACATCTGTGTGCATGTGCAGTGTGTGTACTTATTTTATGGGTGTGTGCTCATTTATGTGTGTATATGTGTGTGTGGTGTATATACTTGTCATGATGGGTGTGTGTCCATCTTTGTGTGAGTGTGTGGAGGGCAAGGTTGACATCAGATGTCTTTGCTCAATCAGTCTCTACCTTTATTTTTTGAGTCAAGGTCTCTCACAGAACCTGGAGGTCCCCGATTCATCCAGGTCTGCTGACAATGAGTTTTACCTCACTGTGTCCAGCTTTTTATGTGGGTGCTGGGGTACAAGCTTAGCTCCTTGTGCTTTCACAGTGGGCGCTTCAGCAACTGAGCTGTCATCCCAGCCCCTCATAGAGACATCTCAGGGACCACCGGGAGGCGGAACGTCACACATCAAGTGACCATTCCTCTGTTAGGCATGGGCATCTATTGCCTCCTCCTGATCTTGGATTTCAGTGTTTCTGTAATGTCAAGTGGTATTTCTCGACAAAGCCACGGACAGAGTCACCCATGGAGTTAAGAATGCAGATGGCCAGACCCCACCTAGACCGAGTGACTCAGAATCTCCAGCTGGAGATGTTCTCGGCAATGCTTGGTGACGGGTGCACAGTCGCTGTGGAGAATCCCCACCGCAGATTCTTCACAGCAAGAAGCCCTTTAGAGTCACCTGACAAACCAGCTGGGCGCAAAACCGAGCTGCAGCCAGGCTCTGTCCCTGAGGAGCAGAGCTGGCAGGCTCTGCAAAGGTGTGAAGTGTGGAGAGGCCCCTGGCTGTGAGGAAGTGAAATGACTTTGATTGTTACAGAGACTGTAACACAGGCTGCTTTCATTTGCCTAGGAACTGACCTCCTCTGCTTCTAATACAAGTACTCAGGAGGCAGAGGCAGGAAGTTCATGAGTCCAAGGCCAGCCTGGGCTACACAGCACATTTGAGGACATCAGGGGATAGAGAGAGACCATGCCACAAACCATTGTGAGGTTCTGCTTCAGTCATAACTGCATGATCACCCTCGAATAGACAGCTCACTGAAAGAGCATCTAGGAGCCCAGCTCTAGGACTCACCAACTGTATGCCCTTGTCTACCTCAGTTTTAGGTGTTGGGCATTTTTTTTCCTTGATGGGATTTGAGTTACTAACTAACCCAAAAAAAGCCCCTGTAGTTGTGAAGTTCTATCTCGGCAAGCGCCTTTTTTTTAAGAGAATCGAGGTATAATGCCCTTGCCTTTAATGTTCTCCCTTTGAAAAACTTCAAAGTTTTTGTATATTCACAGAGTTGTGTGAACATTAACACTGTGTAATTCTAGAACATTCTCATCACCCCAGAAAGAAATCTATTCCCTTTGGCAGCCATTCCTCCTCTCCTCAACTTCTGGAGCTGCCCATTCTGGACACTTTATAGAAATGGAACCATGTCACTAGGGAAATTCTCAGGAATCCACAAGGATGACCCCAGCTAATACCCTAAGCAAGAGTGGACAGGGTGTCTGAACTGGCCTTCCCCCTGTAATTAGATTGATGACTACCTTAATTGTCATCATAGAACCTTTCTTTATCCAGCAACTGATGGAAGGAGATGCAGAGATCCACAGCTAAGCACTGGACCGAGCTTCTGGAGACCATCCCAAGAGTGGGAGGAATGATATGAACAAAGGGGTCAGAACCATAATGGGGAAACCCACAGAAACAGCTGCCCTGACTAGTGAGAGCTCACTGATTCTGGAATAATAGTGGGGGGACCTGCTTAGGACCAAACTAGGCCCACTGAATGTGGGTGACAGTTGTGTGGCTTGGGCAGTCTGTGGGGCCACTGGCAGTGGGACCAGGATTTATCCCTAGTGCTTGGACTGACTTTTTAGAACCCATTCTTTTTGGAGGAATATCTTGCTCAGTCTAGATATAGGAGGAAGGGCCTCGGTCCTGCCTCAAAATGATATGTCAGACTTTGTCGACTGCACTTGGGAAGCCTTACTCTCTCTGAGGAGTGAATGGGGGCTGGGGTGAGGGAAGATGCGGGGAGCGGGAGGAGGGGAGAGAGTAGGAACTGGGATAGGGATGTAAAATGAGAACAGATTGTTCAAAAAAATGAATTAAATAAGAAAAAAAAGAAGAACCAGGCACTAAAAAAGAAAGAAAGAAAATACATTTTAAGAAAAAAGCAAGAAGGAAAAGAAATGGAACATACAACAGATGGCTTTGTGTCTGGCTTCTTTCACTTAGCACGGTGTCTATATGCTCCGTCTATGTTGTAGGAAGCATAGGAGCTTCATTTTACTTAATAGATGCATGCTGTACATTACACTGATTTTATGTTTAGATTAACAAATAGAGACTGGTGAGGTACTAGCTGTCAAACCTGACAATCTAAGTTCAATCTGTGGGATCAACATGGAGAGAACTGATTACTTTAAGTTGTCCTCCAACATTCCTGTGAGTCCTGTGGTATACACACACACACACACACACACACACACACACACACAATAAGATGTAAAACAAACTTAAAAATAGTAAAATCCAGATAGATAAGGTTAATGCATAGAGAAAACTAGCAAACAATGACGAAAGCATACACTGTTCCATTTTCTTGACCTCAACTCTATCTTCAACTCGATGCAGCTCTAATTGCCATCTCCACTTTCCATCCTTAGCTTGACTGACAGTCTACCCTGTCCCCAGGCTTTACTCTGTCCGACTCCTGTCTGAGGCTCTGCAGCACATTCCAGACCCTCGCCCAAGCCTGGCCTCCTGTCCCTCCTGCCTCGTCTCTTCCCTTAGTTTACCTAAGCCTGAGCCCTGTCTCTCAGCTCATCCTGACCAATGGATGGGAAGCCACTTCCTATCTCTGGGGAACTTGTCCAAAACCACTGATTAATTTTTTGAAGACACAAATTGTAGGTTTAAAATGAAAGTGGTGGATACAGAGTAGATGTGCTAACGAAGTCGTAGCGATTAAAAAATAGCCAAAGTGTCAGGGGTGTAGCTCGGCAGCCATCTGATTATCTGAACTCAATTACCAACACTAGAAAAAATAAAAATTAAACCAAATAACAAGACCAACAAACATTCTAGATATGTTCAATTTGAATACTCAGGAAGGAATCTTTTTTTTAAAAAAGGCAAGAAGAATAAAATCTCCTGAGGTTGCAGTAAAGCCAGATGCAGGAACACTCCTGGCACTCCAAGGACATAAGGGAAAGCAGAGACAGGAGGATTCCCAGAAGTTCAGGGGCAGATCAGTATAGGAGACCTTGCTCAAACAAGGTGGAAAATGAGACTTACCCCAGAGATTGTCCATTGACTTCCACATACAGCCGGTGGTATGCGTGCATACCCACAGATGTGAGTGTACAAAAACGTACACACACACACACACACACACACACACACACAAATCCTTTTTTAGGAATTAGATCCTAGGTACTAAACAGAGTCCAATAGGAAGAATTAATTCTAGAATTCTAGTGCTAGATTTTATAGGAAGGTAACCATAGTTAAAACAAATTTTATATATTTCATAATACCTAGAAGAGTAAAACTTCTTGCATTACATAAAAATATAATATTTGTAAATATTTGAAATAAATATTTATTGCCCCAATTTGAGCAATGCCTCATTGTTTTTTAATGAGCCAGGTAGGTTCTCAAATTCCAGGATGAGAGGCCAGGCACCAGCTCCTTCTGCTGGCACTGAAGATCAGGCCTTCAAGAACAGAACTCCCAGGAGAAGGCCCTGACTCTTATGGGCATCTGGTCACATAGAACCTTTCTGCCTTGCCCTGTGTCCCAGGCACTGATCCCCCATTCTTTTTGTCCCTATTCTCTACAGAATGAATGTGAGGGGGACCTGGCTGAGGCCATGCCAGCACTGGAGGCTGCACTCGCTGCCCTTGACACCCTGAACCCGGCTGACATCACCTTGGTGAAGTCCATGCAGAATCCACCAGGCCCTGTCAAGCTGGTTATGGAGAGCATTTGCGTCATGAAGGGGCTGAAGCCAGAGAGAAAGCCAGACCCCAGTGGCTCAGGTAACCACTCCCACTCCAAGCCATCCTGTGCTGGACCCTTTGGGTTTTAGAGGAATTTGGAAGTATCAGCATGTGCATATATGTTCAAAGATCTTAGTGATGCTTCATGTGTGTACATGGGTGTATACATATGTATGTATGGTTACGTGTGTGTGTATGTGCATAAGCCAGCGGTTGACACTGAGTGTCTTTGAGACAGAATCTCACTGAACCTAGAGCTTACCAATTCAGTTAGACTGGCAGACCTGGAAACTCCAGGAATCCTCCTGTCTATATCTGCTTCCCCACCTGTATGTGAGACTACAGGTGTGTACTTCCATACCTGGCTTTTTACATGGGTGTTGGATCCCCCTGCTTGTGCAGCAAGCATCTTGCTGATTGAGCCATATCTCCAGCCCCTTTGTTAATCTTTCCTGACCAGTCCTTAATCACTCAGTCTGTTGAGAAAATGCAGCTATCTGTGTGTGGAAATGAGCTTCATCAAGGCAAAATGCAAAAATGGAGGTCAGGTGTTGCCGATATGCAAGTGATCACATCCAAGAGAAAGTAGAAAAACTGACAGAATGAGAAACAGAACGCATACCGAAAAGGTGGAGGAAGGAGAGAGGAGAAATAGAGACCCAGACATCATTAAGACATGGTCACTCATGCACATTCCTATACACACACACACACACACGCACACACACACACACACACACACACAATGAATTGTCAAACTTGTGACCACAAGGGAAAGAAGTGAGAAGGAATGAGGACAGAGGCAGGAAACAGCAGGGGAGGGAAAGGGAGAGGAAGGAGCTGAAGGAAAGGAAGAGGTGGGGATGCAGAAAGGTAAGAGGTATCATGAGGGAAAAAAGAAACAGAAAAATTAAGGCAAAAATGCTGAGGGTGAGAGAGAAATGAAGATCAAGAAACAGAGCCATACACGTGGCCACAGAGACACAGAAAGAGAGTGAGTGAGGAAAAAGAAGGGAGACAGTGGGAAGAACACGCGCGCGCACACACACACACACACACAATGGTTGGAGTAGGGAAGAAACAGTAATTGGAAATGGAGAGTTAGAGACAAAAACAAAAGGGCACAGAGATAGAAAAATCGAGTGAAAAGAATAGCAAAGGAATGGAGGAGAGAAATTGAGGGGCAGACATGAGGGCCAGGCTCATGTCTCTAATCCCAGCACTGCACTGGGAGGACTGGAAGTTTGAGGCCAGCCTGGGCTACATAATGAGACTTTCTCAGAAGAGAGCAAGGAGGTTCTGATTTAGGACTTTATGTCACAGCTAGTGCCTTAAAACTGCCCATGAACTTTCAATACTGCCTGTCCTTCAAGGCCCCTGTCCTGGAGGAACCCTGCTAGCCTGTATTCCTTCTGAAATGCTAGAAACCCCTAGCCCCTCCTTTGACAACTTCTGGGCCCTGCTTCCCTTTGTTTGTCATTCCTTCTGGTCTGGCTGGCTTCAGGGCAACAGTTGCTTGAAGAAGATATAGATGATGAGAAACGGCGAAGCAGAAGTGGACTTTGTGTGTACGCTTATGTGCATACGGCGTGCAAATGCACTCACCTTTGTATACACTTGTGAAAGCCAGGGGCCAGCTGATGGTATTTCCCTCTACTGCTTTCACCTTATTTGTTTGAAACCAGGTCTCTCATTGAACCTGGAGCTTGCTGACTAGGCTGGGCTGGCTGGTCATTGAGCTCCCGGAGTCTCCTTGTCTCCACATTCCCAGCATTAGGATTCCTGGCACCTGCTGTCATGCCTAGAATTTACATGAGTGCAAGGATCCAAACTCTCGCCTTTCTGTTTATGCAGCAGCACTTTGCCCACCGGACAGTCTCCCCAGCATCAGAAGCTGACTTTCGAGCGGCCTTTAGGGCTGCTTCTGAGGTACAGAGGCACAGTGAGAGCCCGAGGGATGCTGAAACCCACATCCCAGTTCTAAAAACATTTATTTCATTAGTCTGAGGTGTAACCTGAACCCAAGGATTTTTCAAAGTTCTCCTGGTGTTTCTAAGGTATAGGTTGGGTTGAAACCCAATGAGATAGAACATGTCTAGGTTATGAATGCCAGTTCTTACCGTGGAACTCCAATTATCAGCACAGAACTCGCCATTAAACTATGTGTATTATTCACCAAGCCCTTGGAACCTAGCGAATATAATGCAATGGAACAAAATAGCACCTAAGTTGGCTTTGAGGGCCTTGACTTTAAATGGAGCAGATAATTTTCCAGAATGCAAACCAAGTCCTCTGTAGAAAATACTGGGATGGTTGCTGAGCTTATACTTAGGAATGGATACATTATACTCCATACTATGTCTCAAACATGGCTCTTGTCGTGAGCCGCAGCTTGGGATGTGTCATAAACCAAAGAAGCTCTCAATTTTTTCCCAATATGTCAGCCAGTGGAGCACAATCTCAGGGTAGGATTGAAAATCCCTTGATTAGCTGTTGGTTGGGAGGGCATTTAGGAGAATAGGGCCTGTTGGTTTTTTTTTTTTCTGAGCAGGCTATAGGTGGTGAACACACTCCTTCTCCGAGGCCACTGTCTCACTCACCCACACTGTCTATTGTAGGAGAGCTATGTTTCATCCAACCTGCCTCCCAGACTTGGAAATAAATGTAGGCCTGTCGGAATATATGTTGCTTTTATTGGTTAATGAATAAAAAATCTGCATTTGGCCTGTGATAGGACAGAGTAGGACAGGTGGGAAAAACTAAACTGAATGCTGGGAGAAAGAAGGAGGAGTGAAGGAACGCAATGGAGCTGCCAGAGGAGAAAGATGCAAGCCATTAGCCGAAACCTTGCCAGTAGGCCACGAGCCTTGTGATAAAATATAAAAATAGAAATGGGTTAAATTAAGATGTAAGAGATAGCCAATAAGAAGCTAAAGATAATAGGCTAAGAAATGATTTAATTAATACAGTTTCTATGTGACTATTTTGGGGCTGAGCAGCTGGAAACAAACAAGCAGCCTCTTACTACATAGGCCCATGGGTGTGGCTTCTGTGGTCCCTTCTAGTGTTGAAGGAATCAGAAGTGGTATTTACCCAGCTCTTATCCCAGCACCCAATAGGCTGAGACACAAACAAATCCAAGGCCAGCCCGGGCTTACATCTTAGGACTCTGCCCACAGATAGATGATAGGTAGGTAGGTAGATAGATAGATAGATAGATAGATAGATAGATAGATAGATAGATAGATAGTCAAAGCATGAAGAAGTCTGGTCCAGTCTCAGAGGGTTTGTGGAAAAGAACTTGAGATCATGGAGGAACTGAAGTCCTTCAAGACCCAAGTCCATGGAACAAAATATAGATGAGAAAGATAAGATTTCCTGGGTCTCCCTGACAAGGAGCTTAGAATCCCTCCTGACTCCCCCTGCATTTAAGTAGGAGCTTCTGTAGAATTTTACATCTCAACCAGAATGTCTCATTATATCCGTTTCCTTTGCTGATCAGGTAAGATGATAGAAGATTACTGGGGGGTGTCAAGAAAGATCCTTGGAGACCTAAAGTTCTTGGAAAGTCTTAAGACGTATGACAAAGACAACATCCCTTCGGTCATCATGAAGCGAATCCGGGAAAGGTTCATCGACCACCCTGATTTCCAGCCAGCAGTCATTAAAAATGTGTCCTCCGCCTGTGAGGGCCTGTGCAAGTGGGTGAGGGCCATGGAAGTATATGACCGCGTGGCCAAGGTGGTGGCTCCCAAAAGGGAGCGACTGAAGGAGGCTGAAGGGAAGTTGGAGATACAGATGCAGAAACTGAACCAGAAACGGGCAGAACTGAAGCTGGTGATAGACAGGCTCCAGGCCCTGAATGACGACTTTGAAGAGATGAACGTCAAGAAAAATGTACTGGAGGGGAATATCAAGATCTGCTCCCAGAAGCTGATCAGGGCGGAGAAGCTGATCAGTGGTCTTGGTGGAGAGAAGGACAGATGGACAGAAGCAGCCCGGCAGCTGGGGATCCGATATGATAACCTGACGGGGGACGTGCTGCTGTCCTCTGGGACTGTGGCGTACCTGGGTGCCTTCACGGTGGATTATCGGGCTCAGTGCCAGAAGGAATGGTTGGATTGCTGTAAGGATAAGGTCATTCCCGGCTCCACTGACTTCAGCCTCAGCCACACCTTAGGGGACCCCATAAAAATCCGTGCCTGGCAGATTGCCGGGCTTCCTGTTGACTCCTTCTCGGTTGACAATGGCATCATCGTGTCCAACTCCAGACGCTGGCCCTTGATGATTGACCCTCAGGGACAGGCCAATAAGTGGGTGAAGAACATGGAAAAAACAAACAAACTCTCTGTCATCAAGTTATCTGACACCAACTACGTGAGGACTCTGGAAAACGCCCTGCAGTTGGGCACCCCTGTCTTACTGGAGAACGTTGGGGAGGAGCTGGATGCCTTCATTGAGCCCATCTTGCTCAAGGCAACATTCAAACAGCAAGGGGTTGAGTACATGAGACTTGGTGAAAATATCATCGAATACTCAAGGGATTTTAAGTTCTACATCACCACTCGTCTGAGGAATCCACATTATCTCCCCGAAATCGCCGTGAAAGTCTGTCTCCTCAACTTCATGATCACACCCTTGGGGCTCCAAGATCAACTCCTTGGCATCGTGGCTGCCAAGGAGAAGCCAGAACTAGAAGAAAAAAAGAACAAACTGATTTTAGAAAGTGCCGAGAATAAGAAGCAACTAAAGGAAATCGAAGATAAGATTCTAGAGGTCCTCTCCCTGTCCGAGGGCAACATCCTGGAAGACGAGACTGCCATCAAGGTTCTGTCCTCTTCCAAAGAGCTGTCTGAGGAAATCTCTGAGAAGCAGAAGATAGCCTCGGTGACAGAAACACAGATCGACGAGACGCGGATGGGCTACAAGCCTGTGGCTCTTCACTCTGCCACCATCTTCTTCTGTATCTCCGACCTGGCCCACATCGAGCCGATGTACCAGTACTCTCTGACTTGGTTCATCAACCTCTACGTGCAGTCCCTAGCCAACAGCACCAAGAGCGAGGAGCTGGACCTGCGCATCGAGTACATCATCGAACATTTCACCCTGAGCATCTACAACAACGTGTGCCGCTCCCTGTTTGAGAAGGACAAGCTGCTTTTCTCCCTCCTCCTGACGGTTGGCCTCTTGAAGGAAAAAAAGATCATCAACGAGGAGGTTTGGTACTTCCTTCTAACTGGAGGTGTGGCCCTGGATAACCCCTTCCCCAATCCAGCTCCTGAATGGTTGTCGGAGAAGTCCTGGGGTGAGATTGTTCGAGCCTCCTCCTTACCAAGACTGAAAGGTCTGATGGAAGACGTGGAACAGAATATCGAGGAATGGAAGCACATTTATGACTCAGCCTGGCCCCACGAGGAGACTCTCCCTCCGCCTTGGAAGTTCCTTCAAACCCTGGAAAGGATGGCGATCCTACGGTGTTTGCGGCCTGACAAGATGGTCCCCGCCATTCAGGACTTCATTTGTGAAAACATGGGAAAGGTATTCATTGAAGCCCCGACCTTTGATCTCCAGGGATCCTACGGCGATTCCAGTTGTTGTGCACCACTGATTTTTGTACTGTCTCCAGGCGCAGACCCAATGGCAGGTAAGGGCGGAGTATTGCATAAAAAATACTGAACTCTGGAGCTGTGGTAATTAACAGAGGGCATCTCAAAGCTAGCGGGCCTTGAGTTGAAAAACAACCATCTGAGACGTTCCTTCTGTCCTTCCTCCCTATACACTCTTCTTTAAGGCTAGCCTTAAACTAATAATCCTCCTGACTCAGGCTCCCAAGTACTGGGGTTACAGACATATGCCTCAAGCCTGGCTCAAGCAAAGCGCTTGACTGAATCAGACAAGTGAAAACTTCATTTCCCTCTTAAGGAAAACAGTGGCTTGTCAGCACCCAGGGATCATGACATCTGGGAACCCAGAACCACGAGATTATCTGATTTTTCAAAAGAGGCCAGGGATGGAAAGCTCGGCCATTTGTAAACGTTGATGACTCTTTTAAATTTTCCTTAAAATACAACTAGGGTCGGCTGTGGAAATAACTCAGTGGGTAGCACACTTGCCATGCACCAAACCTCTTGTAAGCACTGTGTGTCTGTAACTCCGTGCACCTATGAAGAGATGGAAGACAGAGACGGGAGAATGTTCAGAGGCTGACAGGCCACCTAGACGAGAATACCGGTGAGCATGAGGTCCTGTCTGAAACGGGAAGGGTAAACCTCTGGCGTCTGTGTGTGTGTGTGTGTGTGTGTGTGTGTGTGTGCGCACACACACACAGAGAGAGAGACAGACAGACAGACAGACAGACAGAGATAGATAGACAGACAGACAGACAAATAGATAGATTTTTTTTTAATATGATAAGGGCCAAGCCCAGAATTACATTAGCTCTGAATGTATCTTTATCTTGAACTGTTTTCTCTATTGCATCTTTAATGTTTTGATTCTACTGCATGGACTGGCTTTGTGGGAGCCTCGTCTATTTGGATGCTCACCTTCCTAGACCTGGATGGAGGTGGGAGGACCTTGGACTTCCCACAGGGCAGGGAACCCTGACTGCTCTTAGGACTGGAGAGGGAGGGGAAGGGGGAGCGGAGAGAGTGGGAGGGAAATGGGAGGAGGGAAGGAGGTGGAAATTTTTAATAAATAAAAATAAATAAATAAAATAAATAATAACACTAAATACAGTTTTTTAAAAAAAAAAATCAGCAAGTTATAAGATTGTGATTCAACAGAGATAGGATTTTGCTTTCTCCAGGCACATTTAACAAGGTCTGGAGACATTTTTCTGATTACAGCTAAGATGTAGGATGTTGCATCTTCAAGAAAGAGAGACCAAGGATGCTGCTCGCCATCCTCCAGTGTACAGGGCATTTCTGACAACAGAAGGTGGTACGGCATAGGATGTCAATCATGCTGAGGTTCCAGAAGCTTAGTGTGGAGTCTAAGGCCCATCTTTCTGCTTGACCTCCCCAGCGTGAACCCCTCTTAGTAGCTGGATATATCTCTCCAGAGACAGTTTGTCCAAGTGGTCAGCCTCTCATAGCTGCTCACATGAACTAAACTGCTTTCTCTCCTGGCAGATTTTCACACTCTTCTTTTCCTATTGCCAGATGAAGAAAATAGTAGAAAGGGTGCAAGGGGCAAAATAGATGTTTTCTGTGTTTGCTGGGGAGTTTGACATGTGCCCTTGACAAGGAAAAACTTAGCACCCCCAAGCCCGGGAGGAATACAGAGGAGGGAGCTGAAGTGAAGTGGTTCCAGGTTCCTGTGTGGACCAAACATGTCAGGAACAACACAACCTCTTTCTAGCATCTTTGTCTTCATCACCTAAGTCTGGTTTTCTTTTCTTTTCTTTTCTTCCTTCCTTCCTTCCTTCCTTCCTTCCTTCCTTCCTTTCTTTCTTTCTTTCTTTCTTTTTTGAGAACTTTATGCAATGTGTTCTGATCATATCCATTCCTTTTAGAAGCTATATCCACCAACTCCTCTTTTGTAAATAAACCCAAGTTTAACTTGCGCTCCCCATATACTCTTGGGTGTGTGGCCTTCCACTGAAGAGTGATTGACTACTACCAGCTACACTCTTAGAGAAAGCTGACTCTTTCTCTCCCAGACACTCTAAGTTGCCAGCAGCTCCTCCGTTGCGGGTGAGACTGCACACCTGCCTCCACTCTCCATGTCGAACTTTGATCTGGTTTGAGCTTACAGAGTTCTTGCAAGTGCCATCACAACCGTTGGGAACTCATGTGTGCCCCTGCCCTGCTATGTCTAGAAAGGACGATTTCCTTGTGGTCATCTACCACCTCTGGCTCTTGCAATCTTTCTGACCCCACTTCCAAAATGGTCCCTGATCCTTAAATGGAGGAGATGTGATGTAGATGCTCCATTTAGGGGTGAGTATTCTACAGTCTTTTATTCCCTGCTACTTGACTGGTTGCCTCTGTTTCAATCACCATCTACTTCAAACGGAAGCTTCTTTGAGGAGAGTTGAGAGATGCACTAATCTGTGTATGTAATGATAAATCATTAAGAGTCAGTTTAATACCATGTCCGTTCAGCAAAATAGTAATATTGGGTTCTTCCTTAGGTCCCATGATCTTTTCATAATCATCAGGTATGATGCAAGGTATGGGTTTCATTTGTGGAGTGGAACTTAAATCTGGTTTTAAAAAAGTGGTTAGTTACTCCCATAATGTTTTGTCACTGATGAACCAGTGGGCTTGCCTTGTTCGGCCAGGCTTTATTGAAGTTTGCAAGATTCACAGCAGGCTAAGATTATTATTACTAACCACTACCACCACCTCAGGTATTACAGATAGTACCTTCCAGCACTATTGAAGGTAGCCAGTAGGAAAGAAGCTTCCAGGTAAGTACTAGCTTGCTTTTTTCTATTGTCTATAACTCAAGCATGTGGTGGTTTGAGTAATAGGGTCTTGATGCCAAATTCTAGAGGGTAATCAATTGCATTGGCAGCCTTTGGTGTTTGGGGGCCTGTGGATCTGGCCAATAGCTCCAAAAGAAGAAGTAATCCATTCCTGGTACTATTTATTTGTGAGCCTGTGGTGTCTAGCAGGTTACCATATAGATCCATTATAGGATGATTCCAACTAACTCAAAAGTCCTTTATGTGTAATTGTTATAAAGAGAACTAGTAAAGCCAAGAGAGCGAAGCAGAGAAATAAGGCAAAGGTCTAAGGTCTAATGGATGGCAGTGGTGCTGGGTGAGTCTGGGGGTGATATTCTGCAAGTAGAGGGCAGGCTGGTAGTGTCTGCTGTTATTGATATTGGGGATACAGCGATGATGGCTCAACAGTGAAGAACATTTACTGTTCTTACAGAGGACATGGGTTTGGTTCTCAGCACCAACAGAGTGACTCATAACCATCCGTACTTCGGTTCTGGGGATCTGATGTCTTCTTCTGACTTCTTTAGATATCAGGCACACATGTGGAACACCTATATACATGCAGGCAAAACACTCATATGCATTATATTTATGTATGTACTGTTTGAGGGCCAGGAATGGTCATATGAGCTATCTGCGGGCCAGGCATGACCAGAGGAGCCAGCTCTCCAAACCTCTACCTCTCCCTTCATAAAGTTTCCTTCATCCTTTCATCTCATGGACTGGCTCTCAATTTTGGTTGCCCTTGAGTTACATGGAGAGCTTTAAAACAAATTTTGGTGTGAGCTCGGCTAATTAGGTGAACCTATTTAGGGTGAAATCCGGGCATGCTGTTTTATAAAGCTTTTTGGGTAATTCCATGGTGGGAACCACTGACTTTAAAGACTTCAGCAGCTTTAAGAACCATTCCCAGCATCCACTGTTGCATTAGGCGCTACAACACGGTGGTGTTTTAATTCTTTCCTTCCCTCCACATTCATTAGCTGAGACTCTTCTTTAGAGGATTCCCCTCTGTCAGCTCTTTGGTTTACTATGAATGTGGCTCATACAAGGCAAGCAAAACAGATGCTCTATTCCTTTTGTTCTTTTACCAGCAGTCTGGATATTGAGTCGGCCCCCTGCTAACCTCCAAAGAGAACAGTGGACTAGGAAGGATTTGGGGGTTTTTTTCGGTGCCACTGTGAATATCTAGAGTGTAACTGGGTATCTCATAGGCGGTGGTGTTCACCTCCACTGCCATCATGGTTCCTTTTCTACGTTGTTCAGTTGTGTCTGGTGCTCAGATTCTCTCTATGGCTTCTGGGAGTTCCTCCATGTCTGCCTACTTTTCCCATAAGGCAAACAGATCTTGATCCCCTTGCCTTCTGGAACTCCCACACATTCTAGACACATCTGGAATATTTTCGGTCTCAGACCTGGAAACATTTTGTTTTAGATGGAGTCTCTGGCCAAGGCTGACCTCAAGCTCACTCTACAGCCCAGGTTGCATGCTTATTCTGTCTCAGCTGTCCTGGTGCTGGGATTGCATGTATATACCACCATGCATGCTCATTCTGTCCCAGCTGTCCTGGTGCTGGGATTGCATGCATGCACCACCACACCTGGCTTGGGGATCCATTCTTGAAGGACTCCCAGATCTTTCCGCAGGCAGTGGTATGCAGTGACCGGCAGTCTGAGTGTCAGAGGTGCTCGTGACTCCTAAGAACCACTGCCTGCACACCTTACCGTCCACTCCTTTCATAGGTTGTGCCTAATACAAGAAACAACACTTCATAATATAGGTACTGGAGGTTCAGGATAGCAAAATAAAAGTATTTCCTTTTGTTTCTGGAGAAGCCAAACATCAGCCTGAACAAAATAGGAAAAAAAAAAAACGGTGGGCTTTTCTATTCCTCACATTTCCCTGACCCCTCAATTCCTCATTGAGTACTTCAGGGATGCATGGTTTCCCCCACTTATCTAGTATTGTTACAGCCTCAAATTCCTATCCTTCTGGGGTCTCGAAATGCGTCCTTCTCTTTCCCGAAACGTCAGTTCGGTCATGTTGCAGATGCTCTGTGATTTTTCCACCCTAACATAAATTAAAATGCACCCAGGCAGGCAGGTACCACTGCGGCTAGACAAGTGCGACGGGCCTAGAACCTTCTGCTTATCAGTGGCTCCGTGTTGAACTCCTATGCTGAAAATGGACTGTGATGACTTATGTCTTATCCAGTCCGCTCTGTCAATCATAGCTTTATCGCAAAATGACTGTGCTTTCTACTTCTAAAAGTTCTATTTGATTTTTGTTTCTCTGGTTAGTTTGGGGTTTGTTTGTTTGTTTGACTGGCCTGGAATTCAGTATGTTGATTAGGCTAGCCTCTAACACAGAGATCTGCCTACCTCTGCCTTCCCAGAACTAGGATTAAAGGTGTGTACCACCATGCCCAGCCTGATAGTTCCATTTGTTTTGTCCCAAATTTGTAATTATTTAAAATAGAACTCTGAATTTCATTATGGTTAATATGCCATCTTTATTATTTTCAGATGTATTTCTTCCATGGGAGTCTCCTAGCACTACTTGCTCTCTAAGGCTGTGTAACAAAAGTATAATGAACTGATGGGCTAACAACAAACCTTATTTTCTTACAGTTATGGAGGCTCCAAGTCTGAAACCAAGGTGTTTGGGGTGATTTCTTTCCAGGCTTCTCTCTTTGGATCATTGTTTTTCTTATAAAATTCTTATGAAATGTTTTTTGAGACATAGTTTCTCTGAGTAATAGGACAGGTTGTCCTGGAACTCTCTTTGTAGACCAGGCTGGCCTCCGAGATCCACCTGCCTCTGCCTCCTCCTGAGTGCTAGGATTAAAGGCGTGCACCACCATGCCCAGTGTCTGCTTTTATTTTAAAGTAATGTAATTTATTTAAGATGGTATTTGTTTGCTTTTTAATATTTATTTTATGTGTGTGGATGTTTTGCCAACATGCATGGCTGTGTACCACATGAATGCAGTGCCTATGACTGAAGAGGCTAAAAGAGAGGACATGGGATCCCCTGGAACTAGAGTTACAGATGGTTGTGAGCTGCCATGTGGATGCTGGGAATTGAACATGGATCCTTTAGAAGAGCAGTCAGTGCTCTTAACTGCTAAAACAGTCTCTCCAGGTCTTTGCTTGTTGATGTTTAAGGTAGGGTCTTTCCAGCCCAGGCTGCCTTAGCACTCACTATGTAGCCCAGACGAGCCCTAAATTTGGGAAACTTCTGCCTCAGCCTTCAGACTATTGGGGCTGCAGGCATGCACAGCCATCCTTAGTTCCCTTTGGCTTATTGATGCCCATCCTCTGTGTTCACATGGTTTCCCCTCTATGCATCCATGCCTCCTCCCCTCTGCTCTCATATACTTCTTAGAAGGACACCGGTCAGTCATATTGGATTAATAATTAAAGATATTATTTTAACCTAGTCACCTCTAGCAAGACCTACCTCCAGTCAGGGGCACACTGTGAGAAACTGAGCTTGGCACTTCAGTGTATGAGTCAAGGGAGCACTGTTGGCCCACTTCAGAGGCTGTAGCTAACCCTTGGAGCATTAATTCTGGCTGTTCTGTGTTTTGACTATCCCTTATTCTGATAGATGATAGACTTCCTAGTGTGGCTTATAGTTTTATAGTGAATTCTCCATAACCAAATTTATGTCACTTTGTGGAAACCTCATTGAAGTTTTAAGAGTGTCCCCAAAAGAGGTGGCCCCACCTTTCACCACAGGTGTGGGAGAATTACCCCTATGGTGTGTCTAGGAGAGATGGCTCTGCTCCTTGCCTAAGGGATGGTCCCAGTGGTCCAGACCAACAGCTCAGCTACCACCCAGACCCACATCCTGGACCTTGGGTTGGCCCACCCTAACGTCCACCCCATCTGTGCCCTGCTGGAGTGTGTGAAGGTACTGGTCCTGTGGAACAATAGCCACAGCATTGCCATGATTCAGGGCTGCAACAGGATGTCTGAGAGGAGTTTCGGTGAGGGTCCAGCGATGATGATGTACCAGAGGCCTTGAACCAGACCAATGACTCATTGCAATGAACATTTTGTGGGTGGGGCCGACTGGGCAAAAGGGTACACTGTGTGACATACTGCAGCACCCCATGCCACTAGGATGAATGAAGAGGGGCTGAAAAGATGGAGGAGCAAGGTGGGGTTTTTTGTTTTGTTCTTTTTCAATTAAATTGGGGGGTCATACTGCGGGAGTGAGGGGTGGGGTTGGAGGGACTGGGAGGTGAACAGGATTGGAATGCATGATGTGAACCTTCCTAAGAATCCATAAAGAATTAGGTTTTTTTTATTATAAAAAAAAAGAGTGTCAACTGGGCGGTGGTGGCTCACGCCTTTAATCCTAGCACTTGGGAGGCAGGTGGATCTCTGTGAGTTCGAGGCCAACCTGGTCTATAAGAGCTAATTCCAGGACAGGCTCCAAAGCTACAGAGAAGCCCTGTTACAAAAAAAAAAAAAAAAAAAAAGGGGTCCCCCAAACAGAACAAGTTTGCACATGCAGATCCTGGTGCTCCAGAGATTTAATTTATGTAAAAATTCTCAGCTAGGAACTTCCCAACTAGAGACTCCTGTGAATTCATGTCCCTCATCTCCACGTGGGATGAGCCTGGTGTTCTGATTCTCACTGATCTATTCGCTTTTCCACTCCAGCTTCGGTTCAATAGCGTCATGATTTTTGACCTTTTTAGCCTGAAGTCACAGCCCATAGAGGATCTTAACTTTATACCTAAGTCTTAGCTCCAGCTTCCTGCCCTTTAAGGGCGCAAAGCCAAGAGCCAGGCGTCATGGGGCATATTTGTAATCTCAGCACTTGGGAGGCCAAGGGAGAAGGATCAGCCCTTTGAGTTAGCCTGGACTACATAGCAGGAAACACTGAATAATAATAGTCATAAATAGTCTGTGTGCTTAGAGAAAATGCCAAATAGGAGCCAGTTGCTGCTCCATTCACAAGCCTCCCAGATATCTAAAGTTCCACCAAGAGAGATACTGACAGAGCAATTAACAGAGGCTAATGAGTTTATTTCTGTATCTAAAATGTCAATGCACCCCTCCTTCTGCATCATAACTATTAATCTGCTCTTAGCCGGCTCTTCTTTCAAAATCATCTTTCTTCCTGGTCTCAGGTCTGCTGAAGTTTGCAGATGATGTTGGCATGGGAGGCACCAAAACACAGACCATCTCCCTTGGCCAAGGCCAAGGCCCTATTGCTGCCAAAATGATCCACAAAGCCATCCAAGACGGGACCTGGGTGGTCCTTCAGAACTGCCACCTGGCGACAAGTTGGATGCCTGCGCTGGAGAAGATCTGTGAGGAGGTTATCACCCCTGAAAACACCAAGTCGGAATTCAGGTGAGAGGCTGTCCCGTCTCGCCAAGTCTCTGGGTCCCAGCTCAAGCACGAGACAGCATTCTGGCAGCTAGCCGTAAAACGTGGGAAGGGACAGCCCTGCCCTCGAGAAACTCCTGAGCTAGCAGAGACAGCTCACAGGAGAATCATGTTGCTGGCAAGTATTCGTCTTTGCTTTCCTGTTGCTATGGCAAACACCATGACCAAAACCAGCTTGGACAAGAGAGCTTTATTTCGGCTTACACTTCCAGGTAACAATCTGACATAGAGAGAAGCCAGGGCAGGAGCTCTAGGCAGGAAACTCAAGGTAGGAACTGGAGCAGCGACTGTGGAGGGGCTTTGCTCGCTGGCTTACTCTCTCTGGCTCATGCTCAGCCAGCTTTGTGATACAGCTTAGCCCGCCCCCGCTCCCCCTCCCAGGAATAGCCCTCAGTGGAATTGGGTGCTTCCACATCAATCACCAATTAAGACAACCTCTTACAGACATAGCCAGAGCCCAATCTGATTGATGCAATTCTTCTGTTAAGGGTCATTCTTGCCAAATCTCAAGGTTAAGTCAAATTACCAGTAAAAACTAAGTAGCCCACCATATCGTACATAACTGAACAAGAACCACAGGGCACAGAAAGTGAGCGGGAATGTTGGGACAGGTATGAAGGACCGATGACTGTCTGGGATTTTGTAACATGGATAAGATTTCTCCAAGAAGAACATTCCAGTCAGAAGGAACAGCATTTCTGAAAGTGAAGAATAGCGAGAAGTTAAGCCTGTGTGACTCTGGGAGATACGGGGCAGGAAGTGGTTAGAGAACTTGATGCAGATGTGTCTGTGAAGGTAGACTGACTGTCATAAAGGTTCTGGGGTTTTATTTGTTTATTTTAGTAGAATTTAGTAACAATTGGGATTTAGTAACATTTGTTATTACATGCCACTGGTGTTTGTTTTGGTACAGAAACCTAAACAGATCAAAACTGAGCATGACTTCAGATGTTAAAAAATGCTTTTGTTCAGAGATGTTCATCATCACAAGATGTTCAGGCCAGGGCCTGGTCCAGGTACTGAGGAGCCACCTTTTTCCTTCTACTTAATTCTGAATTTCCTCTTGGGACTTTATAGCCATCAAGGAACCTGGATCCTAGGGATGGGAAAATTCAAACCAAGGCAGGAGACAAAGGGGGGGATCCAAGGTGCTTAAGAGGCCATAGCATGTCCTACTCTAAAGCCAACCTGCTGCTCACTGGTGGGTTAGAGACCAGACCAAGCCAAGTGTTTTGTAACAGGATGTGCCTGCTTGTTGGGGTTTCTGTCCTGCCTAGTTCCCACAGCCGGCAAGTCCCAAAGAATCACACAGAGAGTCTATATTAATGATAAACTGATTGGCCCATTAGCCCAGGCTTCTTATTAACTCTTTTAACTTATATTAATCCATTATTCTTATCTATGTTAGTCACATGGCTCAGTACCTTTTTCAGTGGGGAAAGTCACATCTTGCTTCTTCCATGATCTGGGGAGGACTGCAGAAAGAGCTTCCTTCTTCCCAGAATACTTCTGTTCTCATTGCCCCACCTCTACTTCCCACCTATACTTCCTGTCTGGCTACTGGCCAATCAGCATTTATTTAAAATATAATTGACAGAATATAATATTGTCCCGCACCCAGTGTTTCAAAGCAAACCAGATGTCTCCAGAAGGAAGGTGACCACATAGTCTTGTCAAGTCCCCAACAAAGGCCTTTCCTCAGCCTGGAACACAAGACTCATGTCTACCTCTGTTCTATATGTGTTCACCTGCAGCGGCTCTACTAGGGGAGCCCATTGAATGCCTGGGCCATGGAAGCTGCAAGGAAAAGGCCACTGGGCAGGGCATGGGGGTGTTGCAGCTTAAGAATCACATGGTGTGAATTCCACACCAGCCAGAACTACATAGCAAGACCCTCCCAAAACAAACAAAAAAGAATCACATGATGTGGTATCTTCTAAGCAATTTCCCTGTGTTGGGTAGGATGTACCCAGAAGACCCCAACCCTCTATGGTGCTCAGCTGGGATCCCTTGTGTTTGAAATCACAGGCCGTCAAGAGTTAAAGGAGGGTAGATGTGTTCAACAGGAGCACTTCCAGTTTGGGGGGAGGGGAGACCACAGTCACCAGAGAATCCCCTACTTCATTGAGAAGTTCTGAGCTAGCTCCAGCCTCTGGCCTCTCCCCCTCCAACAACAGCTACAGGGGCAGGAGCAGTGAAAAGGTCACAGAACCACCCCATAGCCCCCTGGGCTCCTGCGGATGGCGAACCCGTTTTCACTCCAACCGGCTCTCCCTAGAATGCTTAACTTGGAACTCTCCAGGCCAGACAAAACCCTTGAGCTGTGTGACCCAGACGTCAATCACCCATTAGAGTTGAGACCTAGCAGGTCATCCCTGGGAGACTCCAGCAATCCCACAGGGGCCAGAATGGGGGAGCAGCATGAAGCTTGGAGGCTGAAAGGAGAGACCAGAATGAGTCCAACCATCACTAGAGAAGACGGTGCAGACTCAGTTTCGGGGGTGGGGGACCTCGTGATCCAGGCACCGACATGTAAGAGCCTTGCAGTCAACACTGTTCAGTAGAAGAGATGGCTTTATTTATAGGCAGGAATTCCTGTGACACTTCTCACAGGACCGCTGCAGAGGAAGAATGGTTCTGGGTAGCCAGAAGAGGGCCACCTGGAATCTGGCCAGTGATCACCTGATGCTCCTGCTTGCTGTGCATAGCCCCAGGCTCACTGGCAGAGAGCCTCTCACACAGTACTCCGTGACCAGCGGCAGACAGATAACCAGGTGTCCTGACAAGCTCATACACCGGTGGTTCTCAACTTCTCAACTTCTCTAATGCTGTGACCCTTTAATACAATTCCTCATGTTGACCCCCAACTATAAAAATAGGTCATTGCTGCTTCGCAACTGTAATTTTGTTACTGTTAGGAATCATAATGTAAATATCTGACATGCAGGGTATCTGATACATATCTGATATGTGACCCTCAGAGGGGCTGAGACCCACAGATTGTGAATAACTGTTATATACAGAGGGCCAATCAGGCTTAGCCATGGGATACCCAAGAAGACGTGTCCTCAGTGATGGGCTCGGCACAGAGACACAAAGCTGGGATTGTCTATGGAGTCACGGGTGGAAGAATTGGCACAGGCCTCGAGGCAGAGTTTCACACTCGGTGTGAGCTGTTTTCAGTCATGTTTGCAATGTCATTGGCTTTCTCTGCCTCACACACCAGCAGACTTTCTGCGTGTGCCCCTGCTGCCCAGCCCACCTAGAGAGCAAAGTGCTTCCTGCGGGAGTGTGAGGCGCAAGCCAGGACCACCGAAACTGGACAGAAGGCTCAGGGTCACCTCTTAGAATGCCCACCGCCTCCTCCTGGCATGGACACCTGGTTCTGCACTGAGGTCCTGAGGGCCCGTAGCCTCAGACTCAGATGCAGTGTCCTGTCATAGGACCAGCTCCTCCACCAATCACACTGGCCTGTGAGGCCTCCACTCTCAGGCAGCTGCCCAGAGCATGTTACCTGCACAACATTAGGCAAGTCACTCCTATGCCTGGGCCCTGGGGTCCATGCTCAGTCGCCAGATAAGGCATAGCAAGACTGTTTCTTAAACAATTATTGTTGAAAATATCGCTTGTTGTCTAGCATTGCTGCATACTCCTCTGATCTGTATTTCTGGACTTCATGGAGCTCTCGTCAAATGGAAATAGCAGTTGCATTCATAGATTGAACCAGGCTTTATATTCATTTTCAAATCAGACAGGTTTGTTTTATTCCAGACCAGGGAATAAGATTGGCTTGTGAGCTAAATCCAGCCTGTTGCATTTCTGGTATGGCTTACCCTCTAATTTTTTTAATATCAGAAAAACCTAAAAAATAATATTTCATGACACATGAAAATGATATGAAAATCAAATCTTGTCCATACACAAAGTTTTATTGAAAAATAGTCATAAAGATTCATATGTTATCTATGTCTAGGTTATTTGGGCAGGCATTATGTAAGCCCACCAAGTCTAAAATATTTTTCATTCTGTCATTTATGATAATGGTTAATAATGGTAGCGGTTATTTTTGCCATTATTTATCAGTGTAACTTATGGCATTACTCTGAGCAGCTGGGTTTTTGTTGTTCCAGACTCTGGCTCACTAGCTATCCGTCGGAGAAGTTTCCTGTCAGCATTCTTCAGAATGGGATCAAAATGACCAACGAGCCTCCCAAGGGGCTCAGGGCCAACCTTCTCCGTTCCTACCTCAATGACCCGGTCTCAGACCCCGTGTTCTTTCAAAGCTGTACAAAGCCGGTGATGTGGCAGAAGCTGTTGTTTGGGCTTTGCTTCTTCCACGCTATTGTCCAAGAGAGGAGGAACTACGGAGCCTTAGGTGAGACATGACCGCACGTCCAGGCGACCTGGAGAGGGAACACAGGTGAAATCTACAGGTTTGCACTGAGATGGTGGGGCCAGAAAGACAATTCCCATGCTCTAGGAGTGACCTAGCAAATATTTCTGCTAAGTATGAATTGTTATTTGTCTGGGATTAAATTTTCATATAATATCCCCTTTTTCCTCTCTAAATCTGGGAACCTTATAACCAAGTCAATGCAAAAAATAATAATAATGATACTGGGAGGCGGGAACAAGGACCTGAGTTCCGTCCCAGCGTCTCCATAAACAGCTGGCATGGGGACATGTATCTGTGGTCTCAGTGCTAGGGAGGCGGACTGTGTGATCTGGGTTTGCTGGACAGCTAGCTGAGGGAGCTCCAGGTTTCAGTAAGAATCCTGTCTCAAAGTAAATTAAGTGATGGCATCTGAGGAGTAACATCCAAGGTTGATCTCTTGCCTCTATATGCGTGCACACACAAGAACACACACAAAGGTGATATTTCAAAATTAGGGGACCTCCAACTAGTGAAGCAGATAATGAATGGAACATATTTATTTTAGGCATAATAACCATTCTCTGGAGAGTTGTCACCAAGGAACCTACAGCATTTGAGTTAATTGCCTACATGTGCACAGTTATGAAAGACGGGACTGCACCTGGGCACTTGCCTGTACTTTAAAAAAATCATAATGCACTTATTTATCAATGGAAACTAACCAATGAGTAACTGAATAACCTTGCTAGAAAACTATCAAACTGCAGTCTTCCTATCTTCCATGGTGGATGGCCTGTCTCACCTATGGCTGCTCTGACCTTGTTCCTTTGTAAGGACCCTCTGTGGGGCTCCTAGCAGTTCTTTAGGTCAATCCAGAGGGAAATTGCCCTCGGGGTGGTTCTTTCTGGTTATTCCTTTCCTTCTTTTTTAAAAAACTAATTTCTAAGGTTAGTATACACAGTAATTAATGGTCTCGTTATGGCATCTCCATACCCAAACCTCATGCTTTGTTCTTGTTCATCTCCTTCCCCGACTGCCCCACCTGCTCCTCTGGATCCTCTGGGTGATTTCCCTCCTCCAACCCAGGTAGCCCCGCAGGCCCTGTGACTGCCCATTGAGAGTGGAAGAGAGGGGACAGCTCTGGGTTTGCCTTTCACACATCATCTTCTCCTACCCTATCCTTCCCTTCCTACCCCATCATCCCCCTCCCACTCCAACTCCTATCCTCCCTCTTCCACCCTTCCCCTTCCTACCCTGTTCTCCTCCTCCTACCCCATCCTCCTCCCCTACTCCATTTCCCCCACACACACCTATCCTTCCCACCCCACCCCATCCTCCTCCTCACACCAGAACTCCAGAAATCTACGCAACTGTCCCATTGTGCTTTTCTCGGCATATGAGTTTTATTAAGTTGTATTCTTAATTTGAATATGATTGTTTTGGAGGGAATTACATTTTTTTGCAAGGGGCTGAAAAAGGGTTCAATGTTTGATAACATTTGTTCCTCTTGCAAGAGCGCCAGAAGAAGCCTCCAGAGCAGTTCCACTGGCCATAGCTCCTACTCTTATGCTGCCATGTTGGTCTTGGAGCCCTGTCCTCTCCTGGTCTTCCAGGCAGGCTGAATAAATCCTGTCTCACAGACTCCAGGACATTAACATCTTCCTTCACGAATGGGGAGACCCATAAGGAAGCCGATTCTAGAATGGATGTTTTCTCAGGCAGAATGGCTGCCATGGTGGCAATAAATCAAGGCAAATAGTCGGCTGGGTGCTGGATCCTCAGGGCTGAAGGAGGCTCTTGATCTGTAGTGATGCTTACCTTACATGCCCAGTCTCTGAGTGGAAATTAAGAGCTCTCAGCTCCGAAGCCTGTAAATTCTTCTCTGCCTCTCGCAGGTTGGAACATCCCCTATGAATTCAATGAATCTGACCTGAGGATTAGCATGCGGCAGATCCAGATGTTTCTCAATGATTACAAGGAGGTGCCCTTTGAAGCGCTGACCTACCTTACAGGTACTTATGGACAGAGCTTGTCTTCTGGTACCATTTTCCACGCTCTTGCTTTTCAGCTCCTACCCTCCATCAGTCACTCCCTCCCTCATTCATTCAAAAAATACCCATCTTCTGCCAATGCTTCTTGTCATGATGGATACCATAAAAACAAAGCCAGAATTAAGATACAGGCTTCCACAGCCAGGTGGCTTAGTCTGAGATGACAGAAAATGTAAACAAATAAATGACAATGTAGTGTTAAGTACGCTAACAGAAACATGCGTGGGCTGCAGAGATCGCGTGGTCCATCAAGTGTTTGTTTCACACATAAAAAGTTCAGCAATTTGGTAATCCCTGGTGTAAATGACAAATACCAGGCCAGTGAGAGGTGTTGCCTCATAAAACAAGGTGGACAGTGCCTGAGCAGGCATGATACTTGAGGCTGACCTCTGACCTCCACACATATGTGCACATACATGCACATGTAAAAGAAAGAGGGCTGAATAGGGACTGCTTTCCCGCAGTTCTGTAGAGGGCTTGGACGCTCACAGACAAGCACTGGAGAAACCAGGAATGGTAACCAGGCAGGGTTGTCTCCTCGATGGCGGGAATACATCCTCAATGGAGGAAATGTATACTGTTTCCCCCCAGAAGGCTAGGGGCAGATGTTGCTAATGACCTGGTGACCTCTGCTCTCTTTAGAGTGGGGCCTCACTCAGCTCCCCCAGAATGTTTATTCCAGACTCTCCCTCCTTTATCTTTAGCTTTGTTTCTCAGGGGAGAAGAGGGGAGATGTTACATTTATTTCGTAGCCTGGTGATCCGTGCTACCTCTGTCAGGGACCACTGTAGCACCATTAATAAAAACCCAGATTTCCTGAGGCTCCCTGGAGGCAGGATTGCCATTTCGGACTGAGGTAGAGGTAAGAGTCAGTGGTTGGCTGTTTGGCTTTCTGACCTTCAGGCTGAACCCCAGTATCTGTCTCTGAGTTCTTATTAATCGTGTTACAGACCATGCCAGATCTCAGGCCTTTAAGCTATGGAACCCATCCTCATGTAGAGGTCACATGTACTTTGCAAGAGCCTTCACACCTGAAGCTTTATCGTGTACATGGGGTTGAGATAGTAATTATCAGGAAACTTTTGTCTAAAACTGTGCTGGACTTAAATATGTCTAAAATAAACTGGCCTGGTGTCAGACTCCAGAAGTCTGAACCAGCCCTGGCTCGCTTCCTTCTTACCTCACACGGATCATTGGATGCTTGCAGGGACTCTCGCTCCCACAGGACCTGGGTTTGAGTTCCAACACCCACATGGTGGCTAACACCTATCTGTAACTACAGTTTCAGTGATCCAGTGCTTTCTCCTGGCCTCCTCAGACACTGCACATAAATGGTACATAGACAGACGTGCAGAAAGAACATCCATGCACATAAAGTAAGAATTCTTAAGCATTTGAAGAAAGAGGAATATTTCTAAAACAGAAAGACAATACCATGATTACATGTCGGGATGGGGGGAGACTTCTGGCAGATTTAAGAAGAGTTGGGTGTGAGGGCTCAGTAGGAAATTTACAAATGGATGGAGGATGAGGGGAGGGCAGGATGGAGGAAGAGTACCTTGAAGTGGGAACTGCATAAGTGGTTTAGATCAAAGCAGTTCCTCAGTGATCTGCACCCTGCTCAGCTAGTACTTACTAGTTCACAATATGGAGGCATTCAGAAGTATAAAATTTGCTAGCTGCCCTCAAAGAATGTACAATATAACCCCATGGACAGGAGAGAAAATGGAATGAGCTGCACTGTGCCAAAGTCCACACGTAGCTCACTAGAAAGACTGTGGCATCTTCAAGATCACATGTGTCCAGATCCTCTCACCAAGTACTAACACACCCTCTATACTCAGGCCCCAGATACACTAACTGAAATCTCCATGTTAGTAACCACATTGGGCAGTGAAGGAGACCAAGGCTTGGTGTAGTAATACTGAACTCCGGGCTTTTTTTTTTTTTTTTTTTTGCCATACCTCCTTGGATAGTTGGCAATATCTGGAGGTGTTTTTGGTTTTTCACAAGAAAAGGGAAATGCTATTCACATATAATGAGTGGAGGCCCGGGATGCTGCTAAACATTCTAAAATGTCCATAGGACAGATCCCAACACAACACAGAACTGTCCAGTTCAACATATTAATAATGCAAAACTTGAGAACCCTTCATTAGAGCAGTTCAGTACTAAGGTGTTACCTTGACTTTAACTCGCTAAGACAAAACAGTGGATCTTGGTTTAGTAAAAGAACTTCTGCTGGGCAGTGGTGATGTGGCACAGGCCTTTAATCCCAGCACTCGGGAGGCAGAGGCAGGCAGATCCTCTGTGAGTTCGAGGCCAGCCTGGTCTACAAGAGCTAGCTCCAGGACAGGCTCCAAAGCTACAGAGAAACCGTCTCGAAAAACTGAAAACAAAACAAAACAAAACAAACAAACTTCTTTAGTCCTGTGGTGGTGCACACCTTTGATCCCTGAGTGCTCGCGCACTCGGGAGGCAGAATAGGCAGATCTCTGTGAGTTCAAGGTCAGCCTGGTCTACAGAGTTCCAGGACAGCTAGGGCTGTTACACAGAGAAACTCACTCTCAAAAAACAAGAAAAAAGCCCCATTTCTTCAGCAAAGCGGGCTTTGCAAGAAAGACTATCCCAGGGCTCCTCACCCATAGATTGAGTGCAGCATCGTCCTGGAAGATAGTCTTGGTAGAACACTGCCTGGGAGGCCTAAGTTAGCCTGCCTTCACTGTGCCAGCCAGTCTGGGGACAGCACCTTTCCAACTGTGCTCTGGAGCACAAGCAGCCCAGGCTGGGGAAATGGTCCCCAGATCTCAAGGGTGAATTACACCGACGGTCTGCTTCTTGCTCACCCCTGCGCACATCAGCGGAGGTCTCTGCTGTTACACTTCTCTATTGGGCACACAGCAACAGCTTTACCAGCGTTTTCCTGTCATCTTCATCTACATGTTTCATATATACGGTCACGCTAGCCATTAAGGCTCAAGAACTTGTCGTTTGAGGCTAGCCAAGTACAAGGAGCCCAGAAGAAGGTAGCTCTCCTGTGGGCCTGGACGGATAGAAGTCATCATCAGGCACCAGCTGGGAGTGAGCATTGGAATTTGCCACCCACGTTAGCTAAAGGGAGGTTTCATCTACAGAGAGGCTAAATGAGATGGGTTGAAGCTGTCTACTCTTAATTTGATACACTCTGTAGAAATGACAATAAAGAATTTAGAGGATGACTGGGGTATATACTAGCTCTTCTAGAAGCTTGTATACTTATCACAAAAAAATGTAGCTATAAAGAACTGGACGTGCATTAATCAGCATAAAACCCAGAGCCTGTGTCTTCCATGCTTGAAAATTCACTGATGAAGACATTTGATGGAATCTGTTTATTTGCTGGAGAGGAGTGGGTTGTTTGCAATGAGACTGGGTCTTGCTATGCAGAACAGGCTGACATTGAATGTACAATCTTCCTGCCTTAGCTTCCACAGTGAAAAACATCTATCTCCTTACCTGGCTCAAAGACCACTCTCTTGTTCTTTTTAATACTGTATGTAGTTTTAGGTTGATATAAACCTACTTATAGCTGGAACCACCTGCATTGTATTCCAAATAAACTTTGCTGAAGGTCTGGGGATGTTCATAGAGAACTAAAGAAATCCAAAGGGACTGGCTCACAGCGAAGATGCACTTGTAGGGCTCACTTTACTCAGTATGAGTTTCCTTTAACTACCTGTCTGTGGCTCTTCCAACTTAGGCTGCTTACGTTCCCCTTTAACTTCATTCTAATTTTCCTTTCCTGAAATAGATGAACTTGGAAATGAGCCCACCTTTCTGCGTACACTTGTACATGTGTGCTTATTTATTTTTTGAAACCCAATCTCTCTGTGTAACGCTGGCTGTCCTGGAATTCATGATATAGACCAGGCTGGTCTTGAACTTGGAGACTCACCTGCTTCTGTCTCCCAAATTCTGGGATCAAACCACCATTCCTGGTGAATGATATAACACATATATATACGTGTATATATACGTGTGTGTGTGTGTGTGTGTGTGTGTACAGACATGCAGGTCCCATAGAATGGTGATGAGGAGGTGGCTTAGAGTTGAGAAAGTCAGACCTCAAAAGAGTATGTGCAGAAGATAATGTCTTTCTGAAGTATGTATTTGTAAGGGCCACCTCTTCTTATCCACAGCTTTATAAACTGGGTCCTCCAGTTATCATTGCTTCTGACCTAAGAAAAAGCTACTAAGTGTCAAGATGGAATTAGAACTCATGACTATCTCATTCCAAAGCCTTTGGCTTAAATCATATTTCATATATACATATTTAAATACTCGGGGGGAGTTGTCTGGAAGATTCTTTAAGATGAATCTTTGGTAGAATTTTTAATAATTATATCAGTTTCTTCCAGATAGACTCTCTTTCCTAATTCTCGATATGGGGAATGTGTATTACTTTTGATAACCACTATAATACACAAAAGGCCTTTCCAGCCATGCTGGGTATGGTGTCAGCAACCCTGTGTCCCTGGACCACCTGTGCTAAAATAGGGATGCGTGGCTAAAAGAAACCACTGCTCAGAGCTAATGCAGAAGTTTGCGGCGGCTTTCCCTGTGCTCAGCGCTCTCTGCTCATGTTGTCCCCAGGGGAATGTAATTATGGGGGCAGAGTGACTGACGACAAAGACAGGCGTCTCCTGCTGTCCCTCCTGTCCACATTCTACTGTAAGGAAATTGAGACGGATCGCTACTACATTGCTCCTGGAGACACTTACTACATCCCTCCCTTTGGCACCTACCAGGTAAAGGATGCCCTGTCTTTGCTCTCAGACAGACTACAGCTAGAGCCTACAGTATTTCCATGGAAAGCCCAGCTATTCAGCCTTGGGCTTCTTTATTTGGGTCCATAATCTGTTCCTACTATTCCATGGAGCCTTCGAGAGAAATGATGTTGTTTAATGAATGTTGGGTATTTGGGACAGATAGGGTCTTTAAGATATGGATTCTATCTGGATTAGTGGGTGGCGGGGAGGAAGGGACAGTTACGATGAAGGCTGGTGGGGACTGGGAAGTGCTCGGTGGATAAAGAGATTGACACGCAAGTGTAAGGATCAGAGTTTGGATCATCCAGAATCTACATATGAAGGTGTACATAGACCTATAGCACACATAGGGCAGGATGGAGGCAGAGACAGGAAGATCCCTGGAAGCCTGTGGACCAGCAAGCCTGCTGTACAGTGATTAACAACAAAGAGACTATGACTCAAAGAAGGTGGAAGATGAGGACCAACACCCAAGATTGTTGTCTGACCTCCACATACACTCCATGGCACATACATGCCTGTACTTACATGCAAACATACACACGTGCTACACACACACACACACACACACACACACACACACACACACGAAGTTAAAGACTTAGTAGTGAACACGTTGATAAATACAGCTCAAATAAGGATTTGAAAGGTAACAACAGCAGTTGAGGAGAGATATGGAGGGCTTCTGTGGCAACCCCTACTCCCCCCACCTCACCCTGAGAAAGGGTAGCAGTCTAGACAGGAAGCCATCAAGGAGAACTCTTGAAAACTGGGATAGGGATGCTGGGGTGTAACTCTCCACAACTGATGGCTACCATTGGAGTGTAGGTGGGGAGGGACTCGCTTTTCTTTGGGGGGCTGACCACTGAGAACTTGACCACATTCCAGTAATTATATGGACAATACAAACTGAACTTTTTTAAAATCTATTTTTTTTGGGGGGGGTGGGGGTCAAAAGGATGGGAGGGATTGGGAGGAATGGGAGGTGAGGGTGACTGGGGTGTTTATGTGAGATTTCCAAATAAGTGAAAAAATATTATGCTAACAAAAAGAAGATAAAACAATGCCACCCAAAAGGTGACAACAGAAAAGTTGGGCAGGCGTGGTGGTGCAAAGCCATAATCCCAGCCCCCAGTACGCTAAAGCAGGACCTCTAAAGCTAGAGGCCAATTTGGGCTACATCTTAAGACCCTATCTTTAAAAAACAATGGCTAAAGAGGAAGGACAGAACAACTAGATAAGGAAAGAAGAGGAGATGTGAAAACAGGAACTGTGGAGGGAGGATGCAAAAGACCCTACACTCCCTGCTATGAGCCTTCTTTCTGAGCTTGTCCTTTCCCCACTTACAGATAATGGGATTGGGGTTGTAGGTGAACTAGGATCCAATCTCAGATCTATGTAACTGTAAAGTCAGCTCCTTAGGAACAGAGAGCAGGCCAAAGGTGGGAGGAGAACGCTCAAGCCTGCCTGCTCTGAGACTCTCCATATAGGAGGAATAGCCCTGGGTTTGCTCAGCCGTCCTGGCTGGGAAGTGAAGGCAATGCCACTGAAATAATGTGATTTCTTTTTGAGATGGGCTTAGCCATGCAGAGTCACCTGCGGGACCCCAGGGGCCCTGCCCTGATACCAATTGAAGATTTCCTTTCCAGTCCTACATTGAGTACCTCAGGACCCTCCCCATCACAGCACACCCGGAAGTATTCGGGCTCCATGAGAATGCTGACATCACCAAGGACAACCAGGAAACCAACCAACTCTTCCAAGGAGTGCTGTTGACCCTGCCGAGACAATCGGGAGGGAGTGGAAAGTCCCCTCAGGTAACCAGGCTTCCATCTAGCAGGCCTTTGAGACTGTGGGTGGTAAGCAGAAAGGCAACAACATGGAGGCCTTGGCGGCATAGATCTCTGGGGTAAGGCACTTTGGCCTACTGCCAGGTACTCAAATACAGAACACAAAAAGCAGTTTCCAAAATTCTGGTTATTTCTGTAAAAAAAAAAGTTCGTAAATTTTTCTATATCATATATCCCCTATTACTAAATGTACTTTTGCTTAGAAATATTTATTCTAACAATTGCAAGTCAAATCATAAGTGGAGACCTAATATAATTTCCATTAAGTTGTGATTGGGACAGAAGAAAGGAAGGAAGAGAAGAAGACCAACTATGTTGTGGGTTCTTCCTGAGTGATACTACTAGCCAAAGTCCTAGAGCTGAAGCCTTGGTGGCTTCTTGCTAAAGGGAGGGAGGAATCTGTGAGGGTTAGAGAACTGTCACATTAGCCCCAATCTGAGACCTTCTGCTCGAAAGGAATGGAAAGAGAAAGGCATCAAAACTTGAAAAGAGTAATTTTCCCACCATGTAATCGACGATTGTTTATTCTGGGCTCTGGAGACAACCATAGTTCTTCTAGCAGTCCCAGTACACACACCGGCCAAGACTATGATAGTCCGTGTATAAGTGACAAAAATAAAACAAAAAACCCAAACAAAACCTTCTCTTCAGCGAACCTTGAGAAAAGTGACCAGCCGGCTTCACGTCCTTCATAAAATCAATGGGAGAACCAGACTCAGAACTGTGTCTCTTGTCTGACTCCATGAATCTCTCAATCTCTCTCCTGCCCCCCTCCTTCTGAGCTGCCTCATTCAACATTTGCCAGGTTTGACCTTGCTAACTGGGTGCATTTACTCTAAGGGGTAATTGGAATGGTCACCAGCCTGGTTGGTGTCCGAATACAGGGGTAGGGGAAGAACCGCTTTTCAGCAAATCAGCCCCACTGGGTGGGGGAGCTGTGCGGCTCTGTCATATTCACAATCTGTCCTTTGGGGGTTTGTTCCCTTCCCTACTTGGCTAATCCCAGTGCCATGGGCTTGTCTTGCTCAACAGTAAAGATTGACCTACTGCCTTCCCAAGTGCCCCTGGTATTGAGAAAGAGTTCCCAACTATGGGAGCTGTGGGGGATTCTTACTGGGAGTGACCTTGAAGGGGTCAGCGGGTCTGTGCTGCCCTTAGGCTAGGAAGGGCCAATGTTTACATCGAATGTCCCTAAATAAAGTATCCTGTCTGTTGGCATCACTTCTCAGTCGCTCTCTCTTGTCTGTACTTAAAGGAAGTGGTTGAAGAACTGGCCCAGGATATATTGTCCAAGCTTCCTAGCGACTTTAACCTTGAAGAGGTAATGAAGATGTACCCCGTGGTCTATGAGGAGTCTATGAATACCGTCCTAAGGCAGGAGCTCATCAGATTCAACAGGTGGGCCTAATGATCTGGCGGGAATTTGGAAAGTGGGAGCCTGTGCAGTAGGAACTAAGAAGGACACTTGATAAGATAACTGCTGTGCAGGTAGCTGTTTGTCCTACCCACGGAGAGAGCCGTAAAAGCAGAGCCCCCAGCATTGTTGATCACGCATTAAATCACTCCCACTCCTCTCTCCGTCATTCCCATGACTCTATCAAGTTCAAACCAATGCCAAGCGTAGATAATAGTGGAAGAAGTCATCGGAGCTATTTTGCATGAGCTTCTAATGCCAGGTATGGCTCCAAACGCTATTCAGAGCTCTCATTAGAACCGTACACAATGAGCGTGCTATGACATTGTTCATTTCTACCACCACTTTACAGATGAGAAAACTCAGCGAGATGAGCAAAGTCCTCATTGATCCAGACACCAGCTCTAGCGCCTTCCCTTTCGTGTTTCAGTGACCACTGGGGCCACTCTTTAATGACTGCCAGGATCTTCACTGGCCCTATCAGTGGCTGTTCCCATGGCAGAGGACAGGGCAACAACAAATCCCCATTTTTCAGTAGGATTCTAGCATCCTTCCACATTCCCTGTTTCCGTGCATCCAGCTGGTGGCAGGGGAAGTCCAAAATGGTTAGGTGACAGTTTAGCTTCTGATTCAAGGGTCTGTGACTTGTGTCTTCTTGGGAAAGTATTCCTTAGGTACTAAAACCTTGAGCCTAACAAAGGTTATAGTTGCAAGAACAGGACAATAGGAAAACAGTGATTGCGTCTTTCAGGTGTACTATGGACGGCGATACAGTCCCTCAGGCAATGGTTCCTCTCTTGCCTCCTAGGCAGGCACGTGCATCTGATCTGAATCGTGACTCCCTCCTGCTATGAAATTCTGCATTTGCTCATACTCTTGCCTGCTGGGTTGAGATTCGACAAGCTAGTCATGGTGGCAGGGTTTTGCTTTTTGTTTCTTTTTACACTCAACAGAACTCCTCCGGGCTGAGCCAGGTCTCAGAATGGAGAGGTCAGAAAGAGGCAGGTGGTCTTGCCCACTTGCAAGCTGCCCTTTAGTTGCCCTTTCTCAGGTATACGCCTCATAGTTTGTAGAAAGGACAACTTTGACAACAACCTACAAATAGTCGAAAGACTATTTCTTTCCTTTTTCTTTCCTTCTTCCCTCCCTCCTGTCTCTGTCTCTGTCTCTGTCTCTGTCTCTGTCTCTCTCTCTCTCTCTCTCTCTCTCTCTCTCTCTCCAGTATCTCACTTTGTAGCCCTGGTTGCCTAGAAATCACTATGTAGTCCAGGCTGGCCTTGAACTCATAGAGATCCACCTGCCTCTGACTTCTGAGTCTATGAACTAAAGGTGTGTAGCCCCATGCCCAGCTTAAGAATAATATTTCAATGGAAGGAAAATAGTTGAATAAAATATAACGCTGTACAGTCACTGAGAAGGGCAATTTAGACAGCATAATGGCTCACGTCTTTAATTCCAGCAGTTAGAAGGCAAAGGTAGGTGAGTCTCTGTAAATTCGAGACCAGCCTGGTCTACAAAGTGAATTCTAGGCCAGCCAGGGTAGTTACAGAAAATCCTGTCTTGAAAAAAAAACAAAAAAACAAAACGAAACAAACAAACAAAAAGGATAATTTGGGGGCTGGGGAGATAGCTCAGTGCTTTCTGTGTCAGCATGCGGACCCGTGTTTGGATTCCCAGTACCTCAGAAGCTGGGCCTGGTGATGGACAGCTGGAATCCCAGCACAGGGGAGCAGGGACTTCCTGTGCTCAATGACCAGGCAGTCTAAGCAATCAATGAGCTCCAGGTGAGAGACCCTGTTTCAAAAATATAAGGTAGAGAGGGATAGGGGAAAGCACCCAGAGTCGGCCTCTAGCTTCTACACATGCGTGCACATTCACACTCCTGGGCTGCATCACATACACACAAAACAGCAACAGGACAACTTAGAACTGTGTTGTAGTGGTACCTGCCTGCAATTCCAGCACTTGAGAGGCTGAGGCAAAAGACTAAGAACAAAAGACAGATTCCAAAAGATGATACAGAATGACTTCATTTAAAACCTGATTTGTGTTTCTAAAGAAAACGAGAAAGGCATACACTAAAGTTATTTTTAGGTGGCAATGTTACGGATCATTGACCTTTGAAAGGAGAGCATGATAAAAGGAGCGCATTTGGTGCACTTGAGCAGAAAGGACCCCCGCAAAGCTGGGCTCAGCCTGCTCCTTTATCCTTGCAGGCTGACCAAAGTGGTTCGCAGAAGCCTTATTGATCTTGGCCGTGCCATCAAAGGACAAGTCCTAATGTCCTCAGAGCTGGAGGAAGTCTTCAATAGTATGCTTGTGGGTAAAGTGCCAGCCATGTGGGCAGCCAAGTCCTACCCATCACTGAAGCCACTGGGGGGCTACGTGGCTGACCTATTGGCCCGTCTGACCTTCTTCCAGGTACCTGGGAGTCTGGGGAATTGGCTACCTGGGGTGTTCACTCAGGTGGAGATGACATTCTGAGGTAGCAGTTGGGGAGGAGGGTTGGCAGCTGTGTAGCATCCTGGGTTGGATATTTGGGACTGGCCTTTCCAGAGCTGGGTCAGCGGGGAGGGAGAGGCTTTTCCAAGTCCTTCCTTGGAGGTATTATTTATAGAGGTAGGAGTAAGAACTAGGGGAAAAAAATCACAAGCTGGAGGCCTATGGGCACAACTGGCCAATGGATATACTTATTAAAACTGTCTAGGAGCACGAAATTTTTTGAACTGATACATAAACATTGGATTTTTTTACACATTGGGGCTGGGTTATAGCTCTATGGTAGAACACTTGCTTAGCATTTGTGAGGTCTAAATTCAATCTCTAGTAAGGGAAAAATAAAGAAAAACCAACAAACAAAAAAGACCAGACTGGCAGGGGTGGGGGTGGATAAGTCTAGATGTTTGTCCTGCAAAATGTCAAAGACGAGCGTCACTGCATGGCCACTGTGGGGATGGCCGCTGTTGCTCAGTACAGAGGTGACATGGCTTGCCCTGCTAGAGTCTTTACCACTCCCTACTGTGTTCCCAGGATCAGCTTTGGACCCATGTTTAGAGCAGAAACCCATTGTACCTTCATTTCAGAAGAGGGGAAGTGTGATTTAATCCAAGAGGACTCTTTGCTTAAAAAAGAGAAAAGAAAGAAAGAAAGAAAAAGAATATTTTTTTTGTGAGGCTCATTTCCATGCTCCTCTTAGTTCTTTTAAGATGTATTCTATTGGGCTGGAGAGATGGTTCAGGAACACCAGTTGCTCTCCCAGGGGACCCACATTTGATTCTTAGCACCCACATAGTGGCTCACACTGTCAGTTACTCCAGCACCAGGGAATCTGACACCTTCTCTGGTCTCCTCAAGCACCAGTCACATATGTGTGGGACACAAATAGATAGACATGCAGCCAAAACCCCCATATACACAAAATTTTGCCAGGTTGTGGGGGTACATGCCTTTAATTCCCATATTTGGGAGGCAGAGGCAGGTGGATCTCTGAGTTCAAGGCCAGTCTGGTCTACAGAGTGAGTTCAGGATAGCCTGGGCTACACAGAGAAATGTCTTGAAGAAAAAAGAAAGAAAGAAAGAAAAAAAAACAGATTTAATACTTGTGTGTGTGTGTCTGTTATGCACATGTATGTGTTGTGTGTTGTTTGTCTGATACGCATATGTGTGTACAGGTGCTGGAATATGGAACTCAGTCCAGGAGATGGCTGTTCCAGGGTGTTGGAAATTAAACTCTGGTCCTATGCAAGGGCATCGAGTGCTCTTAATCTCGGAGCCATCTCTCTCATCCCATGCTTACCTCATTTTAACCTATTATTGATGCATTGTAGATTCTCAGTTTTGATTTCTATGACTCTATAGGAATGGATCATTAAAGGCCCCCCTGTGGTCTTTTGGATCTCTGGATTCTACTTTACACAGTCTTTCTTGACGGGAGTTTCTCAGAATTATGCCAGGAAATACACCATCCCCATTGACCACATCGGATTTGAATTTGAGGTAGGGATCTTGCGAACCGGGACAGCTCAAGGGATCAGCCTAAGAAAATGGTTCCCATCTATCTGCAAATACTTGTTTGTGTGGAGGGACAAATGCTTCGAAAGTGGAACAAGTAAAGAGTTTAGCATGGCTTACGGTGGCTCCAGAAGCTATTTTTGACATGGTCACAGCACTCCCAAGCCGCTGTCCTGTGCAAGGAGGAAGGAATTTGGTGCCAGTGAGATGGCTCAGCAGACAAAGGGGCTTACGTGCAAGCCTGGTAACCTGAGCTTGATTCCTGGAGACCAAGCGGATCTGAGAGGAGAGAACCGACTCTGCAGAGTTGGCCTTTGATATCCACATTCACACACACACACATACACACACCACAATAACAAATACATATTTTTTAAAAACTCATCTTTCCAAAGGAAAATTCTGTCACCATCATGTCAAGAAAATGAAAGTCTCCCCCCCTCCCCCCGTTCAGCATCCTCACTTGGAAGAATGCTAATGTCCTTAGATAGACCCTAGAAATGGAAAAACCATTCCATTCACAACAAAAACGATTACAGTTAGATTGAGAATGATGACAGACGGAGCTTGCAAACCTCTGGTTCATTTTGGTCTCCATCACTCCCTACTATCCTTGGACCACTTTCTGCTCTACAGGGAGAACTCTGAGGAACCACCTCTCTGTCACAGGTGTCGCTGTGACAAAACACCCCAAGCAAGGCAGGCTTTGCGGAGGAAGGGTTGATTGGCTCATAGTTCCAAGTTCTAGTGCATTACTGTAGGAAGTCAAGGCAGGAACTTAAAGACAGTGGCTCTCAAGCTTCCTAATGCTGCAATGCTCTAACACAGTTCCTCATGTTGTGGTGACCCCCAACCATAGAATTATTTTTGTTGCTACCTTAGACTGCAATTTTGCTAGTTATGAATCATAATATAAATATTTGTGTTTTCTGATGGTCTTCGGTGACCCCTGTGAAAGGGTTGTTTGCCCCCCCCCAAGGGGCGGAGACCCACAGGTTAAGCACCTCTGACAGCAGTGCACCCACAGTCAAGGGCAGAGAAACACATGGATCCTGGCCTGCTTGCTAGTACTCAGATCCTCCACTGCTATCCCACCTCCCCCCCCCCCAGAAAAAAACCAGGGTTTCTCTGTGTATCCCTGGCTGTCCTGGAACTCACTCTGTAGACCAGGCTGACCCCAAACTAATCCCAACACCTGGGAGGCAGAGGCAGGAGGACCTCTGAGTTTGAAGCCTTCTCGACAGTCCAGGACCCAGCCCATAAGATGGTGCTGCATGCATTCAGTGGCCTTCCCACCTCTATTAAGACAATAGAGTCCCTCACAGACATGCTCACAGGCCAGCCCAATGTAGCAACCCCTCAGAGCCAGTCCTCTGCGTTTTCAGGTATTCTAGGAGCTGGTTCTCAGTCGGGGCAAGGCTTTAAACCACAGAAACTAGTGTTTTTAAAAAGTACATCAAAAATTTATTCCTCCACTTCACCTCACCCCAGAACTGATCAACTTGCCTCTGATTCAGAATCTAACCATGCATTTCCTATATTTAGGTCCCCAAAGGGAGAAGCAATTGTGGAAGGTCATGAAGTAAATAGGAGTTGCCTCCTGACTCCGACTTTATTGCATTCTCTGTGCCCACCATATAGAACAGCAGGAAGCTGCCTAGGAACCAAACTTGGCTCCCAGCTGATAAGATTCATTCCAGACACCCCAGTTCTTGGTAGAGCTGGACCTGGCAGCTAGGCAGTTCTTATTATTACCATGTGTATGGAAACAAGCAGGTTATGAAACTCACAGCTTGCCATTCTTTCAGGTAACCACACAGGAAACAGCTATGGAGAATAGCCCAGAAGATGGGGCCTACATCAAAGGGCTTTTCCTTGAAGGTGCCCGTTGGGACAGGAAAATGATGCAGATTGGAGAATCTTTCCCCAAAATCCTCTATGACCCCTTACCCATCATTTGGCTGAAACCCGGAGATAGTGCCTCATTCCTGCATCAGGACATTTATGTGTGTCCAGTGTATAAGACAAGTGCCCGGAGAGGGACCCTCTCGACCACTGGCCACTCTACTAACTACGTCCTGTCCATTGAACTTCCGACAGACTTGCCCCAGAAACACTGGATAAACCGAGGCGTGGCCTCATTGTGTCAGCTGGATAACTGACGGCAAGGGTCTTAAAATCGAGAGTAAATGGCATTTTATTCTCCATTACAAGACAGCCTTTCTTTCTTCAGCTGTATAGTATGAAGGTGATGATGATGCAATAATTACATCAATGGAGGTGGAAATTTTATAGCAGCCATATAAAGCAGGTTATTATCATTATTATTCTTACTTTTTTTATGGCTGCAGAGAAGATAGGTAATTCCTCCACATCAGATATCAGAGACTTACTACATTGGAACACAGGTAGTGTGATTCTCCACCTAAGCTTTTGGTCATTTGACTTAAGCTTGCTTAGAGTTATTAATATTTACTTTGGGTTTGGCTGTAACTGTCACACAATTTCAGTCACTGCTTTCCCTGACTTGCACAGCCATCAAGGCCCCATTAGAGATTTGGAAGGGCTTGAATATTTTTTTTAAGGCTCTTGGTATATTTTGTAAAGACTATTTTGTGTGGACGTGTCTGAATGTGGGTATGTACATGTGAGTTCAGGTGCCCAAGGTCAGAAGAGGGCATCAGATCTCTGGAAACAGAGTGGCAAACACTTGAGCGCTGCTCCGTGCGTTCTGAGAACGAACCCAGGTCCTCCGCAGGAGCAACAAGTGCTCTTAGTCACTGAGTCACACCAGGCTTCACCTGCTGTATTTTAACCACACCCCCTACAACGACCTTAGGTGGTAAGGATTATCATCACTTCTACTTTACTGGTGCAAATTAGGTTCCAGTCAGTCAGTGGTAGAAGTTCAGCTACTGCTTGGTGCCAAGGATGGAGCCCATGGCCTTAATCACTCTAGGTGAGCACTCTGCTGAACTCCAGTTCCTGGCTAAGCTTCAGCTGCTCTTCTATCAGTCACGTGGATGGGCTAACTTCACCCCGGAGAGATGAGAGTAGCCTATTTGTTGTTTGCCTATCGTGTGCAGGTTTTGTGCCCACGCCTTTGGCTAACTTGCTCACTCCTGTGCGCTGGAAATAATTGTCCCCACCACCTGGTTGCTGGGGAAGAGGACAAAGCCTGCCTAAGAATAACACAACTCTTCCGCACTGCACAGCCAGGTGGAGGTTCCCTGGCTCTTGAATCCATGTCTGCTCCACTGCTACATGCGGCTTCCACGCCAACGAGTTGGAAGAGACTAGTTCCAGCCGCATGACTGTGTCCAAGGAATTTCCATCCCTAGTTTCTCTCTGGAAAGAGACAAAAACATTGAATTCCTGATATTCTTCCCTGACTCTCTCGTGTAGCTTTAGGCTCTAAGTGGCTTTATTCGGGGTGAGGAGAGTGGAGCAGATGTGGGTTGTATGGTGTGGCTTTCCTGCCTCTTTGCTAGAAACAAATGCCTTGATTCAGGCCCTGTGACTTTTCCTGAATGTGGCGAGCCTCCGAGAATGAAATAAAGGTACTCCAGAAAACGTTAGTTTCAATTTCTTCATGGTGCCAAGCAAATTCTGAGATGAGCAAGCTAGCCAAGTGCCCAGAAAGAGTATGTGTATCGTAAAGTGAGAAAGTACACTCCTACTCAAAGTAGGTCACTAAAGGGATTTTTAAGGAAAGAAGTATAATCCTTGCCAATATGTAGATAAATCAGAATGAACTGATAGCTAGTACTGTATCATTCCAAATAATACAGTCGGTCATGTGAGACAGTAAGATGGTTAGGACCCAAACCCATAACTCTTGGGAGGGTAGCTCAGCCATATTGCAGGCTGCAGAAGAGCTGGCACGAGGGACTGCTAAGAGAACAAATGAATTTTAATTATAGATCTCCAACTCCAACTTTATTCAGCACCAAAAAGCTAAGAGAGGCAAGGGCTGTCTCATTCCTCAGGGGTCAAGGGATAGAATGTTTTTGCATGATGGATGATTATTTTTGAAATGTAAAATATTTCCTCTGCTTTGAAAACAAAGATTGCCTTAAATTTGAGGTCACTTTCAGTTGGGGTCAATGTGGTAATGATGTTTCCTCCTGGGAAAGGGAAAATGTCCTTCAGAAATCATGGTGAATTAGAGACTAGAGTCTTGGGCAAAGGTGGTCAGAATTCAACTCACTGAGAAGCAGTAAGCTCTGCTTAGAAATAGCTAGCAGATGACATCAGGCAAACCTGGTATATTAGCTAGGGATCTCTAGAGGAACAATACTGATAGAATGAATTAATCTCTCTCTGTATATACAATAAATCCAGATCTATACATATGTATATAAAGATATATATAGATGTATATAGATAGATATATACATATGTATATACACTCATATACACATATCTGTGTGTATTTATTAGAGCGGTTTACAGGCTGTGGGTCAGCTAGCCCAACAATGACTATCTATGAATGGAAAGTCTGAGAATCCAGTAGCTGTTCAGTCCATGAGGCTGGATGGTTGTCTCAGATGGTCTTCAGTATATGCTGGAATCCCAACGACATAGGCTCTAAAGCCAGCAAAAAAGAGTGAGGGCAAGCAGACAAAGAGTAAAAGCTTTCTTCTTCCATGTCCTTCTACATGGGCTGCTACAAGAAGGTGTGGCCCAGATTAAAGGTGGATCTTCCCACCTCAAAAGGAATATCTTTCCACTTCAAATTATTTAATTAAGAAAATCCCTCAGCTGGGTATGGTGGCCCATGCCTTTAATCCTAGCACTTGGGACATAGAGCCAGGCAGATCTGAGTTCCAGGCTGGCCTGCTCTACAGAGTGAGTTCTAGGACAACCAGGGTGACATAGAGAAACCCTGTCTCAAAAAAAAACCAAATAAAAGAAAAAGAAAACTCCCTCACAGGTACCCAGATGCTTGGGTTTAGTTCGTTCCAGATGTGGTCAAACTGACACCAAGAATGGATCTCAGACCTGATCGCCAGGCTAGTCCTGGACCTTAGAATTTTTTAGCTATTGAGCAGTTACATTCAGTTCTGTTAGTGACAGGAAAGAATTTCATTGAGGGCGGGGACATAGGGAGGTAGTTTCTGGCTTTTGGAGACAGAATGCAAGAATTTAATGAACTTGGAGAGAAAGCGGGGGAAATGATATTGAGAGTAAGACATATAAGACATATAATCTGGGCATGGTAGTGCACACCTATAATCCTAGCATTTAGGACAGGCGTGAGGACCTTGAGTTCAATCAAGGGCAGTCTGGGCTACAAAGTGAACCTACCTCATATTCCATCCATCCATCCATCAATGCAAACATGTTATATAGTTTGACAGCAAATTGATTGTTTTCAAGGTGCATCAGATGAGTCTGAGTCTTTTGTTTTGTTTTTGTTTTTATTGAGTTCTACATTTTTCTCTGCTCCCCTCTTTTCCTTCCCCCTCCCCTTCTACCCTTTCCCATGATCCCCATGTTCCCACTTTACTCAGGAAATCTTATCTTTTTTTACTTCCCATGTAGATTAGAGCAAACTGATGTTTTATATAATTGTATATACATCTTTGCAAAAGAAGCTAGATATAAAAAAATTCACATTAAAGCTTCCTGTCATGTTAAAGATTCTCAAAGGTTGGCATAGCAATTAAGCAGTGTTCCACTGAAAAAAAGGTTGGTGGGAAGGGTAATTCCTAATGGTCAGTAGAATAAGGCAAAATTGCACATAGTCAAAATCACTTTGTCTCCTTGAGTCACTTAGAAAGGGCACATGATGGAGATGGGCAAGTTGGGTCTCACTTGGTTCAGCACACCCAGCTTTCTTCTGATGTCCCACTGAATGATTACCACATGAAGTTGAATTGCTGGAGTTTACATACCCCATCTTCATGGGAGATACTTCAACATTAAGTCATTCTCCATCAGAGCAATGCTTTTACACTGAGATTTTCTGGAAGAAGAGGAACCAAAGAGATGGCAGATTGCTTTCTTCCAGTTCAAGCTAGTCTGGGGTATGTCCTCAGAATAGCCAATACGCCCGCTAACACACTGACATTTCTTTCCTCGCCAAGGCCTATCACTGTATTTGTATTGAATACGCACGTACTATTTATTACTTCACTGACTGACACAGTATACAATTTGTTCTCCCTGCTATTGCCAATCCCTGAAGTACTTTCCTTGAACATAAGAAGGATGCTTCTCCTCACACGAGACACAGCCCTTGTGCTGTTTCTAAGGATCACAAACCCATTACAGAAAAGAACACAAAGAGGCCCAAATAAGTAGAGACTTATCTTTATTAGTGAGGTCCACTCTCTGCTGGTGTGCAAACAGCTTGCTGTGAACTCCCACCTGACTCCACACATGCTCTCTGTCCCATTTCTGTCTGCATATAACTTGGAAGTCAGCTAGACCTTGCGCTTTTAAATTAGGTTAAAGTAGAATAAAAGAAATGCAGGATAAATGTCAAAGAAGCTTTTAGATCCTAAGTGCATTTTAAGTAATCACACTTAAGATAGGTAAACAGAACTAAGGCATGGAGTTCCAATTATCAACAGGGAGAAGGGTGCCATACCATATTTCCATTAAAAAGACTATATGATCATGTAATTCCAGCACTTGAGAAGCTGAAGCAGGAGGAACAACACAAGTTCAATGCCAGTCTGGTCTACATAGGGAATTCTAGCGCAGCAAGTGTTACATAGAAAAACTCTGTCTCAAACACCCGCCCACCACAAAAAAAAAAAAACCCAAACAAAACAAAGTATGATCAATCCAAAGCTGCCCTTTCTAATGGGGTATATATGGAAATTACGAGAGTCAGGAGACCACAAAATGCCTATACAAAAACCACTTTTAAGCAAATGAATAACTTGTAGACAAACCTCTACTAAGTCTTTTGGGAGCAACAGAGTTTGGTAGCCATGTGAATTCACAGCAACCAGTTAACCCCTTTTGATCAGTTGATGTGTGTTGAATGGCGGTCCCAGCAACTGCCTTCAGCCTTCCTCCACAAGCCTTAGACTTGCTCCCAAGGATGACTTCAGTGAAGATGTAAGGTCCATGTCTTCTAGAGCCAATGCCATCATCAGCTTAGGCATCAGCAAGGCCACCAAAAATCCTAGGGATGCTTACAGCCACATACCATAGGTGAGGACCAACTCCGGAGGTCTTAAGGAAGTGTTGGTTTTGCTTCTAATCAAGAAGGGCAAGCTGCCTGATTTACATTCAAAACCGAGTCCTCTCACCTTTCTCAAAAGCCAACTGTCCTTTCCATTAGGAAACTTCATCATGAGACTGCAGATACACTGGTTTGGAAAGTTTTCTCAGTTTCTCCTGGGTTTGTAGTCTCCGGCCTCGTAGCGGGGTGAGACCCATTGGAGGCAGATGAATCTGAGTGAGAATGATGACATGAAGAATCATAATTATTAGTGCAGCTTATATTCATCGATGATTTACTATTTCTAAGTGCTAAATCTACCACAGACTCAATGTTTATATTTCTGCATCCATTAATCTATCCTTATGATAACTTTTTAAGGAATTATAATTTTTTTTTGAGACAGGGGTTAGCCTTGGCTGTCCTGGAACTTGCTCTGTAGACCAGGCTGGCCTTGAACTCCCAGAGATCTGCCTGCCTCTCCCTCTCGAATGCTAGGATGAAAGGCATGCACCACCTGTAATTCCTGATTAGGAATTACAATTTTTATAGTTGGAAAAAAATGGAGGCTTAGAGAAATTAAACACTGACTTGTTCGAGGTTACACATTAAGTGATGGAGCTGGATCTGAAGCCAGAATCTAATTTAGAATTTATTCTCATCTATGCCATTGTGCCTGGACATAGGAAAAGAACTACAAATCCATTCAGCAAAAATGGGCATCAAAAAAAGAAAGACGAAAAAAGCTGCTTGTCCACTAAACTGTCCAGTGCATGATGGGCATTGGTGCCAACTCAAATGCCCATGGAGGTAGAAAGTTGCTTACATTATGGCTGTGACAGCTAATTTTATGAGTAAATCTGATTGACCCCCATTAACAATCATTTTTGGGTATATGTGTGAGGGTATTTCCAGATAAGATCAGTATATGAATTCTTGGATTCAACCCACTGCCCTCTCCAATGTGGAGGGGCATCCTCCATTCTAGTAGGGTTTGAAAACAAAAAGGGCAAAGGATAAATTCACTTCTTTTGCTTCTTGCTCACCTTCTTTGAGCGCTGAGACACTCCATCTTCCCCTGCCTCCTCCACAGACTTCTACCATCAGCCCTTTTGGTTCTTTGGCTTTCAGGCTCAGACTGACTTGTGCCACTGATATTCTCCTGGATCTTAAGCCTTCATAACTGTATGAGCCAATTCCTTACAAGAAACATTCTTTATATATCCAGACTTATAAAGCCTGTCTGTCTATCCCTATTCACCATCTGCCCACTCACCCTCTCACCCTATTCTTTCATCCACCCATCTACCCACCCATCCACTCACCCATCCATCCATATGTATCTTCTCACCTCCTTCCTATTAGTTCTATTTCTCTGAGGAACCCTGACTTGTACAATGATGGCTTTTTTTTTTTTTTTGGTTTTTTTAAGACAGGGTTTCTGTCCTGGTCCTTTTATAGACCAGGCTGGCCTCGAACTCACAGAGATTCACCTGCCTCTGCCTTTCAAGCGCTGGGATTAAAGGCATGTGCCACCACCACTGCCTGGCTAGCACATTCTTATAATATCACACAATGCAAACATTTAGGATTGGGGTAGAGTTGTACACAAAGATGCTCAGAATGTAGGAAATAAGTAGGTAATAAAAACAGAATACCTAGAATTCCATGTATAAAGGAATGTGTGTGCACATGTGTGTGTCAAATATATGCCAGGTAGTGGTAGTATATGCCTTTAATCCCAGCACTTGGGAGGCAGAGTCAGGCAGTTCTTTGTGAGTTCGAGGCCAGCCTGGTCTACAGAGCTAGTTCCAGGACAGTTAGGGCTGTTACACAGAGAAACCCTGTCTCAAAACAAAAACAAAACAAAAAACTAATAATACATTATCAGATAATTGGCTTGCACTGATTAAATATCAAATCGCTGCTTTTCTAAGCCAAAGAGTTGAAAACTGGTCATTTAAAATTTATAGTGATCTCTTCCATGAGGTGAGAATTTTTGACAATGTTATGTAACCTTTAAATATTTTGTTAACTTTTCTTTTGTTTTGTTTTTCGAGACAGGGTGTCTCAGTAGCTAGGAGACCATCCAGAAACTCACTCTGTAGACCAGGCTGGCCTTGAACTCACAGAGATCCACCTGCCTCTGCCTCCCAAGTGCTTGGATTAAAGGCATGCGCCACCACCGCCCAGCATTGTTTACTTTTTTAATATTTTAAAATATTAACTTTTATAATAAGAAAAATAAAAGCATTTCATAAAAATGAGTAAAGGCCCAAAGTAAAGTTTTATAAACATGCACTGGTTTTCCCTTCCAGCTAGTGGGAAGCTGCACAAGAAGAGACCAGATGTTCACTGGCATAGTGATTTATTGTGATGGGTTGGAGGCATACAAGGATAACTGACTTCCAACATGCTTCCTACAGTGGGTCCCAGCTCCTCATCAAGTATTAGCCCTCATGATATCCATTCTTAGAAATAACTGGGTTGACAAGGCTAAGTATCCAGCACCTGTTCACTGCAACCATACTTACTGGCCTTGGATAAGGAATCTGGTAATGCAGTCCAATCTCAATCCTGGCTGTGCACTCATCTATACACTGCTTAATCAGGTCCGGGTCCGTGAGCTATGTAAGGGAAAAGTAAATGAGGCATTTAGTATCTTGATAATAGTATATAAAATATAGTACAGATTTTCTTAAACTTTTTAGTTCACTACCCAGGAAACTCAATATTGGTAAATAAAATTCTCTCCTACTCTTATCTTCCAGTTAACCTCCTTATGTGCCCCTCCAAAGTTAGTCTATGAATATATAAACCCAAATACAGAGAATTAGTCTTTTAAAATTATTTCTCATGTTATTATTTTGTGTGTATGGTGGGGGTGTGCATGTGCCATAGAACACATACTATGGTGCTTCTGGAGTTGGTTTTCTCCTGCCTTTAGGTGGGTTCTAGGGATGGAATTCACTTGTTAGGCCTCTGTGCTCAATTCCTTTACCCAATGAGCTGTCTCACTGGCCCTAGGTTTCTCTCATACAAATATCTTAATCTCTAAGTTTTGCTTCTTCATTAACATAGTTTGGAGCTCTTTGGGTATTTAGACATCGAGTCACTCTTCCTGAAGACTATCAGAACCACTTTGCTAGTGACGGGCATCCCAGCTACTTCCAGCCTTTTGCTACCATAAACAATTGCGCTACAGATCTTTATGCAGTTTTTTGCTCACATACCAATGTATCTAAGATGAATTCTCACAGCGAGGATGCTAAGACAAAGAGGCTATATAGGTTCATGCATGTTTCATTCTCACAATATTTCCAAGTTACCGTCTATAGGTGACACCAATTTATGACCCCACTAACAACCTGCAAATTCACACCCACACCAACACCGAACAAGAGAGTTACACCTCGCCAACACTGACTTTCTAAAGTAGTGGTTCTCAGTCTCTGGTTGCGACCCTCTTGAGGGTGTCACATATCAGATATTTATAATAAATAATAGTAGCAAAATTATAAAGTAGCAACAAAATAATTTTATGGTTGGGGTCAGCACAACATGAGAAAAAGGGTCACAGCATTGGGAAGGTTGACCACTGCTCTGAAGGAACCTGGCTTTTCAGCAAGGGTAAGACTCCAGAGAATGATTTAACGGGGGAAAAGGGAGTTTTGTAATCCCAAATCAGTCAAATTGTGATAATGTACTTTCAAGTAAAAGAGCAAGATGTTTATTTGTGTGTGTGGGGGGGGGATGGACACAAAAAACAAATCCCCAGAAAGCCAAATCAGGGAAGGGGAGAAACTTTCATTCAGGGGATATAAAAAAGCCAGTACACAGATCTTCTGTTTGTGAGATTGCTTCAAGGCAGTGCCAGAATTGCATCATCCTCAGATGACACCCAGTGTGAAGTCTGCGCCCATGTGGCCTGGAAATTCCAAGGGAGTTCTTGTCTCCGGGTGCTTCTTGGAGTTCCAGGAACAGCAGCACAGAGAACTTAGCTGAGTCCCTTAGGGCAGAGGCTCAACTCCCTGACCTCTGTGGTCTCAGCAGCTATGCCCACACTGGGATGGATATCTGTGTTGCCATTGGTCTGCTGGGATTCATAGCAGTTAATAAGATACCTTTAGATTATTAAACTTTGAGCGCAAGCAGGGTTATAATAAACTGCTTATGTCTACAGGAGGAACTGGGCGTGGGGGGGATGGAGAGAAAAGCCCTCTGACAAAGCTGTGGCTAACGCAGCTGGGCTTCTAGAACTCCAGCTATCATCCAAATGAGCTTGGGCTAGAGTTCTTCAAGTTCAGCCGTTCACGGGCTACTGCATGATGTTGTGACATGCACACACCACCCTCTGTCCCCTCCTTGGCCAATCCAGGTTGAAGCTCAAGGATGATTTTGAAATAAATGAAAACCTAGTCTTGAGTAGTCTTCAGACAGCCGTGCCTGCACAGGTTTACTGGGTACATGCCACAGTATCCTCAGCACCAGGGTAGACACATGGAGTCCTCTCTGCCTTCAGCTATCAAAGACACTATCTGAGCATAACAACTCTGATACATGACGCCAAGAAAAAGGCCTGGTGGAAGCTAGGCAGGTGGCACATGCTTGAAATTTCAACACTCAGAGGCAGAGACAAAAGAATTTTGAGTTTAAAAACAGTGACTTCTGGATATGCCAGGCCTGTGGCACTCATGAACTCACTGCAGCTGTCCTTGCCTGTGTAAGACCTAAACCAGATCAAGCCAGTCAACATTCCAGCATAGATGGGAGGGGTGCTCACAAGGCCCTGCCCCTAGCTGAGGAGCTATTGGCAGGTTTCTACCAGAATGTGAGTCAATTCTCTTTAAGGGTGTGACCCGAATAGGTCAGCTCTACACCCGTGAGTACGTGGGCAGCACAAAAAAGAAAAGTCATGAAGTTGGGGTGGGTAGGGTGAATCTGGGAAAAGCTAGGGGTGGATATTGTCAACATACATTGTGTACACATATGGAAATTTTAAAGGCCGGGTGTGGTGGTGCACACACCTTTAATCATAGCACTGGGAGAAGAGGCTAATTGGATCTCTTTGAGTTGCAGGGCAGTTGTGACGACATAGAGAGTCTATATATGATTTAATAAAAAATATATTAAAACACTAAAAACAAAACAATAAAGCATGGAAGCTTCAGGTCTTCCGAGAAGAAAAGGTGCTTTATAGTATGAGGGCTTCTTTGGTGGCGTTTGTCTTCATTTTAATTCCACTCTTCATCTAACCGAAATCTCTCTGAGGAACCTCATTTTGATTAATATTTCTATATATCCCAAATGTCTAATCTAGTGTTTGGCACTTAGTGGGATACTTGAATGAGGACTAAGAACAAAGGGTTTCACAGTGGCAGCAGGTGGAAGAGAAAGGTAAGGGGAGGTAGGTAGGAGGCAGGGCTTGTAAGTGGATCACTAGGCCAAGGTGAGCTCCTTCAGGTGGGTGATCAGAAACGAAGCCTGGGCCAGGCCTGGTGGTGCAAGCTTTTAATCCCAGCACTAGAAGGCAGAGGGGAATCTCTCTGCGTTTAAGGACAGCCCCAGCTACATAATGAGTTCCAGGACATCCAGTGCTAATCAGACCTGTTTCAAAAAAAAAAAAAAACACAAAAGAGAAACAAAATACACACACAAAAGAAAAAAAAGAAAGAAGAAAGAAAGAAAAGGAAAAAAAGAAAGAAAAGATAGTCAAGTCTGGGCATTCAAAAGTGGCTTCAGCACAGAGGCTGCCTTTTCGTTGGCAGGCAAGTGGCGGAAGGTGGTGTGGAGAAAACACAACCAGAAAGACAGGATACACGAGAGAAAGGCCACAAGACTAGATTGTTTGGAAGGCATCAAGCAGAAGTGGGCAAAGAGGAGCCAGGTACTGACGGTTACCTTCCATCCTTAGTGCCAGGTAGTTTTCTCAAGGGGATAGCAGCCAGTGCTGGACGGTTTGTCAGGATGAATCGTAAGCGGCTGGCTCGTGTCTGGGTATTTGGTTGTGTTAAGTAGATAGTAGAAACCCTATTTTCTGTGGTACCACTCTGTTGGCCAAAGAGTTCATAGCTAAGTTATGGAAGGAGTCCATGTCTTTTTCCATATTATAAATGGGTTTATAATCAGAAGGCTTTGATTGGTTTATAAATTGAGAAAAAAGCATTTGACTGCAAACCAGCCCTGGGCGTGGCTGGCCATCGGTATGTGAGGAACAGCTTTCACTGGCATGACTTCTGTCACCTGGCTCACTGGGTTTTCAGAGGATGCTAAGCCATTTACTGGCTGGACTGAGACATGGTTGATCCCAAAGAAAGAAACACGGGCTGAGCTTGACTTTCTAGTAGCTGGCTGCAATGGCAAGCCCACCCAAGCTATAGAATGGACCCTGTCCAGCTCTGAGAGTTGGATGTGTCTTCTTCAGTTAAGGCAGGAAAGAAATGAACACATAGCACAAGAAGGGTCTCTACTCTTTGCCCTCTCCAGATGGGGCCTACTTACATTTTTGTTTTTCTGGAACAGTGTTCTGGCTTCATTTAATATATACTGTTTTTCTTTGATGGTGTCTTCCATCTGCCCTGATGCTGCCTGCCATTTCCGTGCAAGCCTGAAAATGCTTCGGTAGAGGCCAAGGACTTCTTGTCGTGTTGCTGTTGTCATCTTCAGACTCACCAGAAGAGGAGGAAAATCTACATACAAATGCAGTTTGATAGTGGGCAGTCATGCAGATGTAGTTTTTGAATGAAGATTTTTTTAATTCGTCTCTATATAATTGTTTCTTCTTTACAGGTCTATGAGTAGCATTACCAAAATGATATAGTAGAAACATCAATCGCTTTTGCTCTCTCCTCCCATCTTTTTGATTTTTGAAACAGAGTCTCACAAGCTAGCCCTGTTTGGCCTGGAATGTCACATGTAACCAGACTGGCTTAAAACCATCCTGCCTCAGCCGTCTGCATTCCAAGATTATAGATCTGTCCCCGCAGTTGAAAGTTGCCTAATTTGTTGTTTTGCTATGAGCCCACTTTTACAAACACAGCAAGACCAAATTTACATTTATTATTTTTTTAAAACCAGACTGACCAGAATACCTCAGAAATAATGATTTTAGCTTCTGTTCTGGTAAATTTATGTGCCTAGAAGGCAGATTTTAGTGTGTTTTGTTGAGACAGGGTCTCACTATGTGGCCTGGCTGGCCTAGAACTTGCTTGTTTGTACAGATGGAGTCTCGTGTAAACTAGACTGGATTTTAACCCCGGAACCTCCCTTCTCCACCATCAGTTAAAGAGAGTATTTGTTACTCATCTCTGAGCAGCAGCTACCTAGAAAGGAGGGCATTGAGCTGTCAGCTTTCCTGAGCAGGTAGCAGGACCAGGCCTGGAAGCGTGGGCCCGTGCTGTAATCTCAGCACTCAGGAGGCTGAGGAAGACCATGAGTTCCAGCTAGCTTGGGATACATCTTTAAAAATAGTGGCATTTTGCTGGGTGGTGATGGCACACTTTAATCCCAGCACTTGGAAGGCAGAGGCAGGTAGATCTCTGTGAGTTCAAGGCCAGCCTGGTCTACAAGAGCTAGTTTCAGGACAGGCTACAAAGCTACAGAGAAAAAGTGGCATTTCATGCTTTCCTAATATGAAATCCTAAAATGACAGTTATCATTTTTTAAGTCTTGGTTACCAAATAAGTCAAATAGGGGCAGTCTCAAGTCTCAGCTTTACCCAGAGGCTGTTTATCAGTAATTTCTCTTAGTTTAGAAAACATTTGTCAAAACTACCTTCTTGACCAATAAGAACTATATAACTGAAGTTTTTTCTTATGGCTGAAGATCTTCTGACCACTCTGACCTTTTCTATGAACACCAGTTTTAGTTCCAGTGGTGTGGCCAAATGAGAACTGACCTAAGTATACACCTTCTGTAACTTCTTGCTACTTTTATTTTTATGAAGTATTTTAGACACAAAGGACAGAATAATGTCATAGCTACATACAATAAGCCTTGAAGAACAAATTATGGAAATACTTGCCCCCCTCCACCTTGGACCCCTGCTAAATCAATTCTCTCTCCTTCCTTCTTCCTTTTTTTTTTTTTTTTTTTTTTTTTTGAGACAGGATCTCACTATTTAGCATTGGCTGGCCTGGAACTCTCTATGTAGACCAGGCTGGCCTTGATCACAGAAAGTTGCCTCCTTCTGCCCAGGGTGCTAAGATTAAAGCATGTATTACCATGTCATGTACAGCGCCCTCTTTTCCTCTCTTGGTGAAAGCACCACTATTCTGACTGCTGCTTGCCATTGTTATGAATCCTTTATATTTATTATACATGAGATTTTTTTTTACAAGTTTAGAACTTCATATAATAGGTTCTTCAAATTGTGGGTTTTTTGTTTTTGTTTCCCATTAAACTTGCAAGATTCATCCACATTGCCACACTGAACATCATTGCTGCAAGTCACTCCACTCTACAAAAAAATCCCAATGCACTTGTCTGTTCTGTTAATGGGCAGTTTTGTTGTTGGGCTTTTTTTGAGACAGGGTTTCTCTGAACTCTATCTGTAGACCAAGCTGGCCTCAAACTCCAAGATTCACCTGCCTCTGCCTCCCAAGGGCTGGGATTAACAGCATGTGCCATTACCACCTGGCTTGATGGGCATTTTTATAACTTGTGCAAAACTTTAGCCTATTTCTTTATATTTCTATCTGCAAAAATTGAGTGAGAAATACCAAAAACAACAACAACAACAACAAAAACCAAAAAGAGTCCTTGGAATTCTTAGTCTGATTTAGAATGATGACTACTATGTTGTCTTACACACAAGGGAGGACTAGCTGGAAAGACAGATCTGGGAGTAAGCAGCAGAGCCAGGTACTTGGACACATCCATGAGTCCAGAGATTTTTTTTTCAAACAGGCTTATCAGGATTGGGGAGGAGGCTGAAGGCTGCCACTTAGGCACATAATCCATTTCCTCCCTACCCGGGGCTGAAATGCAATAGGATGGTCCTTGGCTCTTAAGAATCCCCGCAGATGATGGAAGGATTGGGTACGTATATCTAGACATTCCAAGCACCTTCAAGGAATTCACCTTACAGAGATTTCTTCTTTGAAGATGACTGCCCCTCCTTTTGTACTCGACCCTGGTGACTTTTCTTGAGCAACAAGGAGTGAACCAAGGCTTAACCAGTTGATGAAAAGCTTGAAAACACCACTTCTCCCGATCCAAAAGTTTAAAGAACCAAAGTTACACACAACACCATCAGTGATGCTTCACAGAAAAAAGGCTTAAAAGGAATTCATAAAAACCAGTGAGAACATCGTGGGGTAATAAAAACCCAGATGAGATGATGACATTTTTCCTGGTAAGGAAGCAGGTTTCTGAGCTTCTGGCTCTCCCGAAAACTCCATGGTTTCATCTGAAAATACGTGAGTCAGTTCCTGTGAGGGGCAGCAGCACAAACTAACGATTACTTTACTTCCCTGTCATTAACAGATGAAACTTCCCTGACTTTCAGACGCTGGCAGAGGAAATCGAAGGTCAAGCGTATTAAAACCCTAGCAAATTTCTCAAAGCCTGACTGTAATTGGTTTTCTTTTACTACTCTAAGAACTCTGATCATAAGCCATAACATGACACACAAGACCTGCAATTAGGTTACTCAGGGTAAGGAGTGCTAACAACTGACACTTAATAAGACTATTTTGAAAATACTTTAATTAGTGTGTTTTGCAAAGACTAATCCGGAAAGATAGGTGACAATTCTCTAACATCAGGTGACCCAGAAAACCCAAGTCACAAAGACTGCCAGAGAGAAAAGTCAAAAGCTGTCTTTACTACCGAATATGTGAACAGGTCTAGTCTATCACTTCTAAGTCTTGGAAGGAAAATCAAAAAAAGAGAATAATGCATCTTTCATCATTTTGTTACTGGGTTTCTATCAGTTCTTTGCAGGGACAACTATGATGCTCTTGACTTTGGGGCATACTCATGTTGCTTCCTCTTCACTAACTTTTCTTTTTTAATTAAAGACAAGGTCTCACTATACAGCTTTAGTGAGAAAATACCAAGAAAAACACCCTAGGTAAACCAGGCTGCCATGTGACTCAGAGTTCTACCCACCTCTGCTTCTTATGTGCTGAGATTAAACAGGTGTCACAACGCCTGACCTGTTTTTTTTTTTTTTTCTTGACCAATTTCTGTTCATTCTTTAGCTCCTCATGGAAACACGAATGTCTCAGAAAACCCTGCATGCTCCCTGGTCTCTCCTGAGCACACACACTGGGCTAGGGATGAACTGAACCTGACAGTTGATCTTTATAGGCCTCATCACTCAAGTTCTGCTTTGTAATGTCTATTTTCCTCCAGTGGACTCTAATCTGTATGGGGACAGTTATTACAACTATCTTATTTACTGCTGAATTCTCTGCACCTAGGAAGCTTACATACTAGGACTTCAACAAATGTTTCCTGAAAGCATGAAATATGCTACAGCAAGCTTTAACTTCTCAAACTGAGTCAGTCACGTTTAAAAAAAATTAAAGTGCTTTTCTTTGGGATTTTTTTCTCTTTGGTCTTAGAAAGCAATGCATTGATACAGGTTGCCACTTCCTGACGGCTTCCTTACCCAAGGACTTAATGGCTTGGGACCAACAACCTTCTCAGGATTAATACAATACGGCAGCCTTTATCCTTACTTTCTGGTTGGTTAAGGGTTGATCGGGTACAGTAGTGAGGTCTGTGGGGATTCCCCTTAAGGACTTAAGGTTTAGAAGTCAGAACTTTAAATGGACAGGAAGGCTATTATTCTTAAGGAATTTCTTTAAGTTCTATGGCATTTATTCTTGACACTACTTGAAATCATTTGCTCCTTTTCATCTCTTTAACTTCCAAATCCCAGGCTGGAAGAGGAAAAAATGTAAGTGTGATGGAGTAGTTGTGACTCGGAAGGTGGCTTCTTTTGTAAAAGTCATACTGCCTGCACACGCAGAGCACGACGATGAAATGTATTATTGAGTGCGTGTTCTACTGAGCGCATATTGAGTGCAAGTCTCACACATTTTGCTGCCAGTGTGTTTTGGCCTCTGGTGCTCAGTTGAGAGAAGGCCGTAATGTACATATCTCAAAAATTTGATTGTAGAGGTGATTTTAGATACATAATAAATTTATTAGTTGTCATTAATATTTACTGGAATGATCCAACACACCCATGAAAAAGATTTTTTGTGTGTGTGATGTAGGTAGGCTATGAATAAATGTATTCAGAAAAATTCCAACCAGAGCACTGTATGCATACCTGTAATCCTGACATTCAGAAGCTGACGCAGGAGGACTGTCCTAAGTCTCAGGCCAGTCTGTGCTACAGTGTGAGTACCAGGTCAGTCAGAGGTACATAGTTAAGCCTGTCTTGGCTCACCCGTCCACTCAAATGCCCCTTTTCCGCTAGTTATCGCTCCTTCACTACCAAATGTTCCCAGAGCACTCTCTCCCTAGGGCCTAGCAGAAGTTACCACTGATTGCTCTTCTGCAGTATTTTGTGTCTTTTTCTTCCTAGATTTTTCTGCTAACTCCTGGAGAGCAGGAACTTTGTACTGTTCATTATAGTAACAATAGCTACATTTGTTTTGCATTCACCATGGCTTCACCCTCTACAAGGTACTTTACATATAACTCTGTGAACATCATAGCAATTCTGGAGGCAGGTGTTACTTCTCAGTCTACAAAGGAAAGTGTGTCCAAAGTCATACAGCTAGAAATAGGGAAGGCCAGTATTCAAACCCTACAATCTGGAGTAAGATCCCAAGTTGTGAGTAACTAAATAAGCTGCTTGATCTTGATAAATTGTTGGATATCTGTTGCATGTTTTAAAGGGCTTAGTCAATACAACAAAGGAAGCTAAATAATTCCATTAAAATAAGCCATATAATTCTATAATCTTCCCATACAAAGAGCCATGGAAGTGAGTATTTTGGACCTTAGTATGTTTTATAAAATATCCAGTTGCCCGTTACTTCTTTAAAAGCCTTTTATGCACCAATTCCCTTAAAAGTAGACTGTGCCCCTGGTTGAAATGTTCTGCTCTTCAGTTTTCTGTGATGATCCCTCTGAGTCCAAGGGAAGCTGGCATCACAGAAGAGGAAAATGAAGACTCACCGCACTGTTCCAATCCTGCAGGCCTTACGTCTCCTCTGCCAAGGATCCCATCTATTGATCCACTCAGCATTTATTGGATATGCCTACCATGTCATGACCATGTAGGTCTGGGGATATCTTATCTTCTTATGATAGAGGCAGAGGATATACAAGAAAACTAAATAATTTCATACAGTAATGTGTTTTGAATGAAACGAACAGAAATGGAAGACCTCTGGGGAGTCAATGTATTTGGCCAGAGCTCGGAATGGCATGAAGGAGACTAATAACAGGAAGTTAAGGAGGGTGGTGTAGGGAAGGGGTGGCAGGAGCAAGGCCCTGGGATAGGCCAAGGGCAAAGTTAAATGTGAATACAAGTGAGGGCTTGTCTGGGAGGCCATAGGACAACACAGTTAAGCACTGATGGGAGAGCAGGCCTGGGAAGAAGTCTGCAGTCAAAGAGAAAGGGAGACACTGATGTATGTGAAGCAAATGGGAGCAACAAGGTCTGCTTTACATTGTTAAACATGTGCTGGAGCCAAACTGTATCATAACTACTTAGGAGTCCCTCGCTCTCTTTTCATTGTTCAAGACAGGGTTTCTCTCTGTAACAGCCCTAGCTGTCCTGGAACTAGTTCTGCAGACCAGGCTGGCCTCAAATTCACAGAGATCCTCCTGTCCCCACCTCCCGTGTACTGGGATTAAAGGTGTGCACCACCACTGCCGGGCCCATCTCTCTTACAGAGGTTGAAATGTCAGATTTGCCGAATGTCAGCAGAGTGACAGGAGGGTCAAGATGAGGAGCCTCAAAAGCTGAGTGATTATTTCCTCGTCTGACCACAAGCTTTTCTGTTTTAATTTTGGAGTCAGTAATGGGGACTTACAATGGGCAGTGATCAATCAAGAAATAAACAAAACACCTGAAACCATGTGCTCATTTTGCTATTGGCCGTAAAGGATTTGAGTACAGTCAAGGGACCTGGGGAGGCTCCAGAAACATCCTCTGAGTCATGTCTAGGCCCTGGGTGTGTTCCTATCTAGTTTACAGACAGGTTTGTTAGTGCAAGGTCTCATCAGCTTCGCTGTTTCCTTCATCTCTGGAGCACTTCGGGAAGCTCACTGCAGCATGAACATTCAAGAGTTTAAAAAGAGTCTGTGTTTGTGTGCACCTGAGTGTGTGAGTGTGCACAGAGGGAGTGCAGGAGCCCAAGGTCAGAAGAGGAATGGGATCCCCTGGACTAGATTTGAGGGTGGTTGTGAGTTGTGTGGCTTCTGGAAGCAAACCCAGGTCCCCTACAAGAGCAATGCTTTTAACCCGAATCATCTCTCCATTCCCATTTAGGAGTCTAAAAGACAATTTCCCTTCTGCAGATGAAGTTTATAGAAGTATGACTCCGGTCTCAAGAATGTCAAAATTCCAGCTACTGGACTCTCTGAGGCTTTGCTTTCTCCTGAATAAAAACTGCTGCAGCACAAACAGAAGGAACAAAAAGGAAAAGGAGAAAGGGCCAATCAACCTAACTTTCAAGCCCTATGAGGTAAAGGGAAAAAGTCTATTCCATTTCTTCTTCTTTTCTTTTTCTTTTGTTTTTGGAGACAAGGTTTCTGTGTGTCACAACCCTAACTACTGAACTAGCTCTTGTAGACCAGGTTGGCCTCGAAATCACAGAAATCCACCTGCCTCTGTCTCCCAAGTGCTGGGATTAAAGGCGTGTGCCACCACCGCCTGGCCTATTCCATTTCTTTTAAGAAAGACCCGACTCTAGGATTTATTTTTTTCCCCCTCATCACGGCACGTTAGAATCAAAACTTCCCTCTCCATAACTTGGGGTGGGGAAAGGGAAGGCTGTGAAATTTATCCAGACAAAACCAGTTCTGCTGCTCTGCCTCTTTAGGTATGGCACCCCTAGGTGCCTTGTGAAGCCTCCAAATCACACAACCAAAATATCCCCTTTCTTGCTCACCTGCTGCCTTCTCTGCCTATTTCTTGGCCTCCTATCATTGCCTCTTTCTAATGCAGGGACTATGGCAATGTCCCTGGGCGCATCCCTCGCAGATACCCACCACACTCTAATTTTAGTTTTTAAAAGCTGATTTTATTGTATTTATTTTGTGTGTATGTACGCATGTGTGGTAGCACATACATACTGACGTGCACGTGGAAGTCAGGGCACAACTTGTGGGAACCAATTCTCTCCTCCATGTATATCCTAGGGATGGTACTCAGGCTGTTGGGGCTGGTGGCAGGAGCCTTTGCACACTGAGCTAATTTTCTATCTGAATGGACCTTTCTTCTCTCATTGTTTGTGACTGTATGGGGAAAGGCAGTGAAGGCAAGAGGCCCAGAGAGAGTCTCGTTCCTTACACTTCCAGGCCTGATACATAACTGGGACATGACAAAGAATGATTCATCAGCAATATTCATTCTCATCCTGAGATATATACGATAGCATCTGGAGAACAGTCCCAATTAAGGCCCCAGAGCTTGGGCCAGAAAGATGGCTCAGCAGTAAGAACACTGCTGTACAAGCCTGACAACCCAAATCTGATCCCTGGACCTCCCGTCGAGGTGAGAGGAGAGAACTGACTCCACAGTGTCTTCCAGTGTCCACATAGGTGCTGTGGCTTGCATACACTCCAGCCCTACCACATTCTAGTAAACTAATTTTAACAAAAAGTTTTCAGGGCACTGAAAACAATTCAGTGCTGTTTGGGGGGAGGCTTATAGTTCTAAAGAGAGTATTTTAAGGCTCACACCTATGATATAACCCTCATCTCTTTTTTTTCTGAGACAAGGTTTCTCTGTGTTGTCCTGGCTGTTCTAGAACTCACTGTTTAGATCAGGTTGGGTTTGAACTCTGCCCACCTCTGCCTCCTGAATGCTGGGATTAAAGGTGTGTACCTGCCTGGCTACAACCCTTAAGGCCAGCCATAGTTTGTCACTAGCTTGAAAGGCCTTATTTCAGGGAAGCTTAGAATCAATGAAATGGAGAAGTTTTTTGTTAATTTGTTTGTTTTATCCCCTCAAAAAACTAGTCATTTTGGGGACTAAGGTACTGTAGTCATATTTCATTTGTATTTTAATAAAGAAAGCTTGCCTGAAGTTCAGAGAGTAAAACAGCTGCACTGATCAGCTTTACAGATCAGACAGTGGTGACACACACCTTTAACCGCAGTAGCCACATCAGTTTGGTATAGAAATCGGACGGTAGTAGTGCACACCTTTAATCCCAGTCCTAGAGAGGAATATAAGATGGGAGGAGACAGCTCTCACACACAGTCACGTTCTGAGATCCCTGGAGGCAGGATCGCCATTTGGGAGTGTGGTAGAGGTAAGAGTCAGTGGCTGGTTATTTTGATTTTCTGACCTTTAGGTTGAACCCCACAATCTGACTCTGGGTTTTTATTAACTGTGCTACAAGGTATATTGCACCCAATCATCTAATTTTAGAACCAACCCAGAAAACTATACTTTAAAGCACTTATCATTTGGGAAACTGAAATGCTGTTTTTTGTTTGTTTGTTTTGAGACAGGGTCTCTCTGTTATGTAGCTTTGGCTGTCCTGGAACAAGCTATGTTCTGGCTGGCCTCAAACTCAGAGATTCCCCTAGCTTTGCCTGCTTCCCGAGTGCTGTGATCAAAGGTGTGTAGCACCATTTCCAGCCATGAAAAGGTTTTGACAATGCACAAATAATCACTTTCACTGAGTTCAGCCTGGGTCACAGGTTTTTTGTTTGTTTGTTTGTTTTGTTTGTTTTTCGAGACAGGGTTTCCCTACTATGTAACAGTCCTAGCTGTCCTGGAACCAGCTCTTGTAGACCAGGCTGGCCTTGAACTCACCAGTGATTCACCTGCCTCTGCCTCCCCAGTGCTGGGATTAAAGGCATGCGCCACCACTGCCCGGTGGGTCTCAGTTTCTTAAGAGTGTACAAGAATTTCTTCTTTGGTAGGGATTGCATATGCAAAGCCTTACACACAGGGCATACACTTCAATACTGAATTATATCCCTCAGTGTCCTTTTTCTTTTCATTTTGAGGTACAGTCTTACCTAGTTGCCCAAACTGGTCTTGAGTCCAAGAAGAGCCCTGAACTTTTGCTTCTCAAGATGAGATCATGGGTTTGTACCACCAAGCTTTACTGGTGCCTGGTGCCTCGGTCTCTTAAAAATATAATATGCAACCACAGAACATTTTTCAGAATTGTAAGGATTATTTATGAGCTACTCCATTAAAACACTTAGCACTAGGAAGTAACCGCACAAGCTACCTGAATAGGAGGAAATTCGAGTAGTGAGGCCTTTTATCTATGGTAAGCTCTGTCTGCAGAGAAAGAATGGAAAAGTATGTAACCTGTTGGTGAATTTGTTGCTTTGTGGTAATAATGGATTTTCCCAAAGCTATTTCCCTCTGATCATTAATAATCCCTGAGCAGTAAAGGGCTATTGTTCTTAGGTATGAGTAAATAACCCTGCTGTAGACACTGCTTATCTGCAGACCACAATGTGTGCTTCTTACTGGAAATACAATGCAGGTGCCAACACTGAGCTTGCCTTCCCATGTCTCTTCCTTTATCTCTAACGCTTTACTGTCAGTGCTCTTTTCTCCTATAGCTTTTCTAGTCCCCGCTTTTCTGTCAGACACTGATACACTGAATGACTTTACTGTCACAATTGAACAATCTTCAAGCCAAACTGTGCCCCACAGGTCCCTGGTCCCCCAGCTGCCAGCCCCTACACACATGCACATGCGCACACACACAGAGGACTGTTTCCTGTCCTAGATTTAGCTTTTGGTTATTAGAATCTGAAAAGGGAAGTGATACCACATAGTTGTGCAATTCTCAGGATATGTTCATTCGGTGTACTTCATACCACAACAATTCTCTGAAACAGCATTTTTTTTATACAAAAAATTACAAGAATATGGTGTATAAGAGATGGGTCCAGGGAAAGAGGTAGATAATACATTTATCAAAGAGAAAATGAAATTTAGGTTAGATCCTAAAACATGGGAAGTCAGCAGAACAAAGGGGAAATTTAAAATACTCATACCAGAAAAATTTCTAAAAGAGCTACCCCAAACAAAGCAATAGGTGGCAAACATGCACCCTAAAGGCAGATGTTCTTTGACTTGCGGATAGTGCTGGGTCCTTACTGGGACCGGCCTGGGCCTGCTGAACAACACTGGGACTATTTCCAGCTCAGGAACAGATTAAAATTCAAAGTATAGTTTGTATCATTTTCATATCATTAAAAAATTGAAATTATTTTTATGTTGGGAATCATCAGTGTATCATGACAGCCCTGGAGCACTCACCAAGATTATATGCACACATAAGAACAACCCAAAATTGCAAGAGATATAGTAATCAACCATTTCCTATTCAAGGCAGAAATTCTAAGTGGAAATCAATTTATAGTTCCTCATTTCAAAATAAATGGGTATATTATTCTTCACTAAAATGTTACACCAGAATGCTGGGATTATAGGCATGTGCCAACATATTTTAAGAAGAAAGACAAGGGTTAACCAGAGGTCTTTTAGTTACCCAAAGTCAGCTGTGAGAGAGATATGGGAGGTCTGGGAACAGGCCAATGTTAGAGACTCATTCATAATACTCCAGCCAGTATCTTCAACCTTTCATAGCAAGGAGGGAAGTCAGAGCGCCCGAGCACTAACTGAAATTCCTGCTTTGTGACATTCTTCTAAGAAACTGATTAGAAAACTGCAAAAAGGCTTTGGTGGATGCGGGGTGTGGTGTTGCACACCTTTAATCCCAGCACTCAGAAGTTCAAGGTCAGCCTTCACAGAGCAAACTGTAGGTCAGCCAAGGCCACACAGAGAAACCTTGTCTGGCAGCAAAACAGACTAAAAGGGCTTTGGGGGACAGCACCGGGTACAGCTGGAGATCCGCACCTGACTCTGCACCAACTGTCAGAAACCTAACAGTACTGTGCATGGGGCCACGTTTTCAGAGCACTCTCCAAGGACGCTCTAGTTATCAAATGAGCAGCTTCATTTGTAGGACCCAAGAGCTTCTTTTTTTTTAAATTAATTGTTTCTATTGAGCTATATAATTTTCTCCGCTCCCCCCCTCTTCCCCCCCCCCCCCGTTCTACTCTCTCCCACAGTCCCCACGCTCCCAGTTTACTCAGGAGGTCCAAGAGCTCGTTCCTGAGCTGTTCCGAGAGCAGGAACAATGGCTGCCTGGCTTTATTTGTGTGGAATGATTGGCACCCAGAGTTCTTAAATACTGGACATCTGGAATATGTGTCGAAGGAACTGTTATTTAAATTTAGTTACGCGTGACTAGTGGCTACATATGGATAGCACAGTTAAGTCAATTACAAATCAAATGTCACATTGGGAGTGGGAGTAAGGAGAGGTGCTTCTGGCCGACTTGGGACATAAGACACACACAAAGGGCAAGCTTTGGCTGTAGCTGTGGAGGGCTCTCTAGGAACTTCAGACTGGTGGTGTTAGATTGTCCAGTTTTTCAAATGAAGCCAACAATCTGGATTCTGATGTTCAAGTTTT